TTTGCCACCTCCCCTTCCAAGCATTTAGACCGTTGAAAAAAATGATTCTTCCTTAGAGTCAAAATATGCGTCTACAGCTGCTTTGACCTCGTCGTTTGTCGAAAATCTTTGACCTCCCAAGTGCTTTTTTAGGTTAGGGAACAAAAAGAAGTCTGATGGTGCCAGATCAGGTAAATACGGCGGATGCGGTAACAGTTCAAAGCCACAGTTGTGAATTTCAGCCATTGACTGTACTGACGTGTGAACACGGGCGTTATCTTGATGAAACAGGACTTTTCTTCTGAGCATTCCTCGACGTTTTTCTTTTATTTCCTATCGTAAACGACGTAGTAAGGTGCAGTAGTAATCAGAGTTTATAGTCTGACCCCTTTCAAGATAATCAATCATAATCACACCTTTCGAGTCCCAGAATACTGAAGCCATCACCTTATTTGCCGACAAAATCGACTTAGCCTTTTTAGGGGGTGGTGAACCAGGTCTTCTCCACTGTTTTGATTGTTGTTTTGTTTCCGGTGTACAGTAATGAACCCATGTTTCCTCCATAGTAACAAAACGATTCAAAAAATCATCTGCATCGGCTTCAAATAATTCCAAACAGTCGCGTGAAATAGTCAATCGCGTCCTTTTTTGTTCAACTGAAAGCAGTCGCGGAACCCACCTCGCAGACACCTTGTGGAAACCCAACTCGTTGATAATGATGTTTTGAGTTCGTTCATAAGAGATGCCTATAATCTCGGCTATCTCTCTAATTTTTAATCTGCGGTCTCCCATTATTAAATCAAGTACTTTTTTAATATTTTCGTCAGTAGTTGACGTCGAAGGCCTTCCAGAGCGGGGTTCATCTTTCACACTCTCTCTACCACGCTTAAATTCTGCTATCCATTTTTTGACGGATGAATATGACAGAGCATAATCGCCTAATGTATTGACCATGTCATCATGGATAGCTTTTGATGATAACCCCTTCTTACGGAGGTACTTAATGACGGCACGCCGCTCGATTTGCTCCATTCGCGGAAATTATGTCCGATTACTTTGTTAATAAATTTATAAAATCACAACTAATTATCGCACACGTTTCGAACTTCACACAATGAACTATTCTGAACTGAATTAAATAATGTGGGTATATTTGATTTTTAGAATTGAATGGATCTGTGTTAGGCCGAGTACTTTTCAATCCACCCTCGTATAAATAAGACAACAGACTTTGGCATATTATGTCAATTTTATTTTTCAAGACATCCTTTAGCGGCGCTTCAAATTGGCACAGTCATTTTGTATGGTATAGCCAGTCCAGCGTACTTGATACTTGTATATATAGAGGTCAGTGGTATATACGGAAAGTTTTAGCAGGAGCTTGGCTGTAAACGGATTGTTGAATGTGAATAATGGTTTAAAGTGGATTTTGATTCGTAAAAGTGATGCGATTTTGTGAATTAAGTGTCAGCGCGTATGAACTATTGCAGAAAACGACGAAAGAAGTGCTATGATGTTGATAGAAACCTCAAGTTATTTTGATCGCCTGGGCGCCTTATGAACTTGAGTGACTGTCGTCATGAACTGTCCGCTGGGTTGAGCTATCGTCAAAATCTCCCAAAAGCTTTGCAATGAGACACATCAGCATAATATTGTGAAGAAAAAGTATATAAAAATGAAGATTCCGAAAGAAATGATAGGCTCAGAAGGGCTAGAACCCAGAGGCGTAAAGCCAGTTTATTAAAAAAATGAATTTGAATTTGAAGCAGTGCTTCCAGATTCACTGTAATTACAGTAGATTTACTGTATTTTAGACTTTTCTACTGTATACTGTAATGATAAAATACAGTGTATGGAATATACTGTATTTAATTTTCATATAGCTTTATCAATTCTAATACGTAAAACAGAACGCAGCTAATCTACACTACCACAGACTAATATGATGCTAATACACTACCTTGCTACAAATTTATTTATCTATGATCTACACCCACTGAACCACAAACTAATAAGAGTGCTAGCGCCATTATCCATAGACAATGTACAGTAAGTTTGTAACAAAGTTGCGGGGAATTCCCTGGCAAATCGGAACTAACGTGGAGCACTCTGGGACGCAACTAGCATAAGTAGGTTCTTGTTACTTGTTTTAACTGTCTTACAAAGGAACATTGTATTTTTCGTCTAATTCATTACACTTAAAGTAGTTTTGCCATTGTACATACATTTTAATTGAGATTTAAACTTTTTAATTGTTTTGGGTGATGTGAAATAAAATTTAAACTAAAAACTTATTCGCTATAATTTTTTCACTGTATTTATTACTGTAAAAATGAGCTCAAGCAGTGAGGAAAGTGATGTGCGTAGCGATGCTGGTCCGTCAAGAGCTAAAAAAGAAATATCGGCAACAATTCCGTGATGAATGGCTTCAATTACAAGACTACCGTAAGTGGTTAAAGCGTGATAAAAAGTCGATTTATAAATGCATTTGCACTGTTTGCGATTCTTCTTTGATTGCCGATCTGGGTGCTATTAAAAGACACAGTGAAGGTGCTAAGCATAAACTTCGTCTTCCTGCCCTATCGCATGTGCGTACCATTGATAATATTTTTAAAAGTCAGCAACGCGCAAGTGATGATGATCAGCGGAAAATTACAGAATTAAAATTATCGGCTTTTATGGCAGAACATAAAATATCGCACATAGTGATGGATCATCTCGTTGATTTACTTCCAAAAGCTTTTCCAGATTCTAAAATCGCAAGTAATATCAAACTTAAACACACTAAATTACAAGCAATAATAAATAACGTTATCGGGGCTTCTGAAGGAGAATGTTTAGTCGAAGATTTAAAACGCGAAAAGTTCTCTATAATGGTAGACGAAAGTACCGATGTTGCCAGTGTGAAAACAATGTGTGTTGTAGTCAAATATTATGATCCTAATTTAGGACGTATCGTCAGTCGATTCTGGGACCTTATTCAAATATTTGATGACAAAAAAGCTGGAACGTCTGGTGATTACTCAGCCACGGCTGAAAAATTATTTAATTCAATAATAAAATCATTTCGAGACAAAAATATACCCTTAGAAAATACTATCGGGTTTGGTTCTGATGGATGTAATATGATGATGGGCTGCCATAATTCAGTGTCCTCACGATTTAGACAACTATGTCCAGGTATTACAGTGATCAAATGCCTTTGCCATTCTTTACATTTGTGCGCTTCCGACGCTTGCAAAGAATTGCCCCACGATGCAGAAAAACTGACTCGAATGATATACAATTACTTCAAAAATAGTAGCAAACGTCAAGCAGAGTTAAAGGAATTTCAAGTATTTACAGACACTAACATACACAAATTGCTACGTCCAGCCCAAACGCGTTGGTTGTCTCTTTCCAGTGTTGTGAACAGAATTATGGAGCAATGGGACGCTTTGCGATTGTACTTTGACGATAAATGGCTGGAAGACCAAGATTGCCAAGCCATTCATATTCTTTTGAATGATCACATCATCAAGGCATATTTTTATTTTTTATGTTGGATGTTGCCAAAGTTTACCCGCGTCAATGTATATTTTCAAAGCGAAGATCCGGTTATTATAGAAGCCCATAACAAAATGAAAGAGCTATACAGAGAACTCTTATCCTTATACATAACTCCGAATCATTTAAAGAACACCCCACTCGACGCAATTGACCCTACTGATAGTCAACATTACATAAATCTGAAAAATATATACCTGGGATTGGGTGTTGCTAATCAAGTTGCTGTCCCAGAGCTACATGTAAGTACCGAAGAAGTTACAGTGATGAAACAGAAATGCCTGAATTTTATCGTTAAAGCATGCGTGGGTATTCGGAAAAGATACAGTTTGAATGACCCAGTTTTGAGCTCAATCGCAAAGTTGGATCCCGATTCTTGCTTATCTGATAATAGACTACAGTCTTTGTCTTCGCTGTTCCCAGTGCTGCCAAGGCTTAAACCCCAAACTTTAAATGATCAACAGACGTTAGATGATGAATGGAGAAATTTAATGTTGACTGCGGATGAACAACATTTGAATACAAATCAACCAGCAGACGTGTTTTGGCATCAGGTAAAATTTTATCACTTAAGAACTTTACGTATAATATTGCACATATGTTTACATTTTACAGATTTGTTTTTTTTTCAGTTGTCTCAAATCAAAGATAGCAACGGAGATAATAAATATCATTTTCTGCCTCGTTTTATGCTCCAAGTTTTATCGTTGCCTCACTCGAACGCTGAGTGCGAACGAAAGTTTAGTGAAATAAATAATATAAAAACAAAGCAGAGAAACTGTTTAGTCACAAATACCATCAAAGGCAACATGCTAGCTCAGCAAGCCATTCGGCGGACTTCCGAAAATTGCGTGAATTTTAATCCAACTAAGGAAATGATTTCAAGGATGACAGCAAAGATTTATGAAAATCATGAGCAAATTGTTCTGGAATAAGTAAATCAATAATAAATGTTTTTTCTTGTATCTAAATATATGTTTTTATTTATTTAATAACTTATAGCAATTTGTATTGATAAAGAGTCATAAAGCAGCTTATTTTTCTATCAATATTTAAACAAAGTGTTTCCTGTAATTTTACTGTAATTGATTTTGAAATCTACTGTATTGTTTTTAGAAACTCCTGTATTTTTTAACTGGCAACACTGTAATTTTACTTTTGGGATCTGGAAGCACTGATTTGAAGTTTCTTTAAGTATTATTTATTATATCTTAAAAGTTTTATCTTATTTTCTAACCCTTCAAAGATTGAAAGTGCTATGTTTAAGTAGTTTATTAACCCTATTATTCCTATTATTAACCTTATTAAGTTGGGTATATTAACCTATATAAATATATAAATATTTGAAATGTAAATGGATTTTTAATTATCTACTTCTACACTACTTGAACTTTTAATTGTGGCTGTTTGATTTTTAAGTGAACGTATTCAGTAATAAATCTTAGGAATTGACATTAATTTCTTTTAAAATCGATATGTCGTGTTCTAAAGAAGAAATTGAGAAAAAACGTTTAGCAGCGTTAGAAAGAAGGCAAAAGAAAGTATTTAATATTCATACTGAAAAGAGTTCTGAGTTGCTTCTAAATCCAGGAAGCCCTTCTTTCGCTCCTGAACTTAAAGGATCTGGTTCAAAAATTGTTAATCATTTTCATCCTTATCACAGACCCGAAGCAAATAATATAGAAAATATTCCTGTATCTAAAGTAATAAGTGGAACAATATATTTGATTTCGGAGAATAGATTTGAAGTAAATCCATCAGAATTCTGCACACCACTCATAAGTATTTTCAAATCTATAGCATCTAGAAGTTATGGTTAGTATTAATCTTGGGTAATAAATATAAAAATGAATGATTGTTGTTTGTTCGTATTTTATGCACTACTATACCTTTCATCAGATTGCAGAACAGCCTTTTCAACTTATTGCTTGCACTTGGGCAAATGTTATAGCCATAGTACAATAGCTTACAGTAGATGACATGCTTATCATACCGAAAAATTTATATGAAAGTTATTTATCATTTAATTTCTATGAATTTATTGTATATAAAAATCAATTAAATAATATTTTATATATTTATAATTCAACAATATAACACTTCCAAATTTAAAATAATATTACTACAATTATATCTTCTATGGCAGCTACACGCTGGGTAGCAGCTAGTAGTTTTTAATATTTTAACACAATAAAAATTATTGCTAACTATAATATTTGATTTGCAATAATTGTTTTTTACAGATGCCAATACTAAGTTATGGAATTTTTCAATAAATGACTATGAGGAGCTGATGACTAAAGTAGCCCCATTGGCCCCACATGTGGTTCTGGGCTCTTTACCTGCTTTTGTACTTAAGGTTAATTTATTTTAAAAGCATGTTGGTTGTTCTTAACTCTTCTTTTCATAGGGTGAGGGTGACAAATGAGCACACAATCTATTAACTGATGATAAGTGGATGCTGCAGAATATAGACAACTGTATCTGTTCTCGAGTAGGAATCTAAATAACATATCATGATTCTCCACATTTAAAATTACTCCACATTTAATAAACTATTACCACATAGTAAAATAAACTTAGTCTATATATGTCCTACTGGTAGGCACAGGCCTACTTTCACAGAAACTCTAGAGAAAGTGTCCACCATGCTGCCCTAATATTGTTGGCGTACTGTACTTGTCTTCAAAATAGTTGTTTTTATTTCTCAGACATGCAGGATTCAGCATTCATCACAATGCTTTACTTCACTGCTGAGCATGTGGTAACGGGGATCAACCTGTGTAGATTGCATACTGTAAAATTTAAAGCGTGCACTAAGCTATCTCTTAAAAACTACTGAATTAAACTAAAACTATGCTTTGCTATTGTATTCCCTGCTTAGTGTGATAATTTCTTTCAGTGTCAGTTAAATTCAGCATAATATTTTTTCAATAGAAATTCTTCATAGCGGCTATAGCTATCTTTATTTCATTACAGCCTATCAAACTCCAATGCTGAACAGAGGCTTCATAGGGGGGATTATTGCTATAATTATCATGCTTACCAGGCAGGTTGCAACTGCTATTTTCTATTATTTTTAGTTGTTCCATTTCAATTCTATTTCAATTCCCTCCAACTCCTCAACACCCGAGCGATATAAGGTAATAGATTCTGTAACACAATCAATACACAGCTGTAGCTTAGTTAACATTCACAAATGGATCATAATTACCATCATCATCATCACAGCCAAAGTAAATATGTTACTTAACATGTAATTAAAAAATATTATTTGCTATGGTATTAAAGGTCTTAGTCGAGAGTAATAATACTTATATTAAGTACTTACAATGTATCATTTATGTATTATCTAATACAATAAAGTTTGACATGCCTCTGTTCTCCCACATATTGTGGGTTTGCGTGTTTCTAAGTTTTAGGCAGTATAGTGCAAAGTTTTACAGAAAGCCCTGCTAATAATAAGCAGATCAGTCAGCTATTCTAATTCAATTATTTGAATACAAATTCAAATAATTGAATGTTGATGTTTTCTGTCTGCTGTTTGTTCCTTCTAATATATGATAAATTTTTGTATCTCTGACTTCTAAATCAAAGTAAACAAGAGGATATCAAGTTTTTCTTCACTATTTTTTCTCTGAGCAGAAGAACCTCATTTTGAAACAGAGGAAGATTAGGTTATTTTGTTTGTATTTTATGCGCTGCCATACCATTCATCAGATTGCAGTAAAACTTTTGTCAATTTATTGCTTACACTTGTGCAAAGGTTATAGGCATATTACAATTAGCTTACAATATGTAGGTGACTTCAATGAATGTATTATCTTATTCTTTATTAAACAATATAACTCTTTCAAATATAAAACGATATTTTAACTGCAACATGCAGAATACCAGGTAAAACATGTTGACATTTGAGCATGTATGCTTGAATGTTGTTTTGAATTGGATGTGAAGAAAGCAAGAAGGGTTGTTAGGTTTGCACCAAATGCAAGTCCATAGTCTCTGTCTAACCCTCTGTGTGACAGTTGTGATAGTTTTATGTTGATGTTTGACAAATAGAACTTTATTATCTTACATACTAAACTAAAGTTTTTATTTAATTTTATTTGAATATGTGAAATTGGGTGTTTCGAACCTCCAGACATCCTTCATTTATCTTATAAATGTTAAGAGATTGTGTTGTTATGGTATATTTAAAAATGTTTAACTGTCAGACTGTGGTCAAAATAGATTAATAAGTGTGGATTTAAAACTTTTGTTCTCTTGGCACAACAACTTGAGATAACCCTTTCACATTATATAACTCTCTTAATGTAACGGGTAAATACACACAAACAAAAACATTGTTACAGGCATTACGAGAACAAACAGTAGACCCTAATACTATTGAATTGGTTCCAATTGAGTCAACTTTGAGAAATAAGCTTATGCCATTCCAAGAAGAAGGAGTCAGGTATTATATTCATTATTGTTAATTAAGTTAACTGCAATTTTAAGTGCTGATTTACTATGTTTAATTGCTTGGTGCTGAATGAAAACATTGTGAGGATGTCAGAACTTCATCTCAAGATCCCATTGTCAGAACTTAATAACAAGGCCCCACTTGTAATCTCGGAAATACCTCCAGGATAAGGTTAATTGTTAAAAATAGTAAAAGTGAGAGGATGGATGTTCAACTTGCTCTCAGCAATAAAACAGCATAACATACTATACATTCAGTATAGAGCAATTACAGTTCGACCACACTGTAACACATCCCTGCCACAATGACACAGCAGTGTAACGTGAGGGATGTAATTACATGATAACACCAAAGTATGCTAATCAACAGCAACACTACACATTTCATAAGTGTGACAGTGTGACAGAGAGCAGCCTCTCGGCAACACCATTTTCCTCTCTTGCACCAGAAAAACCACCTCAATGGATAAAACCATGACTGTCTAAGCACTTCTACTACTTAGAATTAATTAGACGGACTCTCTCGTGCTCGGCACCTACGCTGAACTTTATATTGCACAAACGGTTTCCCGATCTATCCTCAATTCTACCCCGCCACCATCGATATAACGCTCCGCTAGAGTGACGCAACCTCTCCTTCATTCCCTATCCATTCGTTATTTCACAGACGCGATATATATTATATATAAACAGTCGAAATTTGTATGCAGTGAAGTTCGCTTATGACTTCACATTACGTGTTGCCTCATGTATGTACAACTTGTCTTTAATCTATTTTGTTTAATGGTTAAAAAAAGAAAAACAACGTTTATTTTTAACCGACATTTATAAAGGAAGAGGAACTCAATTTGACTGTATTTTTTTGTGTTTTTCCGCATCACTTTTTTTCTAGGTGAACCACTGATCTCTATATATACAAGTACGCTGGACTGGCTTTTTAAACCGTGACATGTTGAGGCAATTTGATTTGTGCCATTTTGGCGCTGACAGCAGAAGTGAACGTCCATGGAACGGACAGTGTGACAAAATATATCAATAAAAATTCTATAACCTACCTATGCCTAAATAAATAGAATGGACTCTATAGATAGATGGCGTACGTCGTCGTACGTCCATTCTATTTATGTATCATATTAACATAATGCCATTACAAGTCCACTGCTTAACATAGGCCTCCCCCAAGGAATGCCAGATAGTACGGTCCTGAGCCGCCTGCATCCATCAACTTCCTGCATGTCTTACCAGGTTGTTACTCCATCTAGTGGGGGGGACGTCCTACACTTCACCTGCTGGTACGAAGTTGCCACTCGAGAACCTTTCTTCCAGTTCTTTTCTTCTATACGACCGATTCATAGCCACTTCAGCTTACTAATCCTTTGGGCGATGTCGGTCACTCTAGTTCTACTGCGGATATCCTAATTTATAAGTTTATCGTGCGGAAAAACCCTGAGTATAGCCTTCTTCATAGATTGCTGAGCGACTTTGAGCTTACTCATACGGCCAGCAGTGAATGACCACATCTCAGATCCATAGATCATCACTGGCGACATGAACTGGTTGTACAATTTAGTTTTGAGGTATGCCTGACTAGAAGATGTGTTGTAATGCTCCGAATGCTGCCCAGGCGAATTGAATCCGTCGATTGATGTCTCGGTCGAAGTTGAACTTACCTAGTCGTACTATTTGTCCCAGGTAAACGTACTCGTCAACAACTTCAGCTACTTGTAAGTGCTCCCAAAAACCACAGGCATAGGTGTGACATGGACATTACACATAACTTTTGTTTTGTCCATGTTCATTTTAAGACCTATCCGTTGGAAAACACTATCGAGATCATTGAGCATAACGCTTAGGTCCTTCAGCGATTCTGCCATAAGGACTATAACGTTGGTAAATCAAAGATGAGTGAAGTATACGCTATTGACGTTAATATCGTATCCTTTCCAGCCCAGTAGCTTGAAAACGTCTTCCAATGCAGCGGTAAAGTATTTCGGGGACATTACGTCACCCTGTCTTACACCTCTACAGTTGGATAGGTTTTCGTACTCTGGTTCTGTACTCGGATAGCCATCGTAGCCCTTAGACCATTCAACTAAAAATTATTAAGAATAAACTATAGTAGGGCTATACAAACACTTCAGCACTTTGATATACCGACAGTCAACTTCGCACCGCTGATGAGACTGCAACACCGCCCAAATTTCAACGGAATCAAAGGCTTTCTCATAGTCCACGTACGCAAGACGAAGTGGCCTCTAACTCTACCTGCACTACAGACTCCCCAAGCCCGATATGTGAATGGAACCAGGAAAAAACGAGCACTTGGAAGCATCAAGTGATGCAGTATCACCAAAGTCGCGGAGGATAGCACGGCGCATCACCAATCGCCATACCAACACTGCTTCCCTGACGATTCCACCTCGACTACAGCGGTACAGGGAGAGGAATCTCCTCTAGCCGCAGCCCACTAACACACAACTAACGTGGCTCGACATCATTTGGCGACCTTTCTACACTTGGCTATGGTCTTAGAGATTGGGGGAAAATAAGAAGAGAAGAAATAAATAAAAAAACATTCGATATAATAATCTACTTAATACTTTTATACTTACTGGTATTGGTACTACCAGAAAATATTATATCGGTAAACTGCACTTTTTCAGAGTGGTGCAGTTCTCATGTCTAATAAAACAATCATCTGTGAAATGTTCAGAACAAATATGATCATTTTGTTTCGGACGCCAATTCACAATATTTATCCTTTTAAGCAATCATTTTAGTCTAGGTTCAGTTGGAAACCTGTTAATTAATAAACATTTAATAATTATCTGTTGTTGGCAATTTTGTTTGTTAACAGATATGGGTAGGAAAGAACATCGATAAGTATTATAGACAAGGAACTCTACTGAATTTTACTTATTATATATTGACCCTATTGAATTTTATTGTTTATCAAAACTCAGTAATATAACCCCCGCACTTTGATATTGCGACTGGCGACCATCTTAGTGAGGTAGTCGAATTGTCAGTACCGTTCGCAAGGTCAGCCAACGCTTATGCGTATATCTAACCACGTGTTTTCATAGGTTTTTATTTTCGTTATCCTGTTTTATTTTTGTTGTTAATTTTTGTTATTGTTATCATACTTATTCTGTTACAATGAGTAAGCAAGTAATTAACAGCCGTGCTCGTGAAATGATTATTAAAGTGGACAGTTATTTTGTAAAGGAGAAAAAATATTTATAATTAAATACTTATAAATATATGGGAAAACACCAGGAGAAAAGACTTTCATAATAAAATCATCCCTCGTATTGTTATGACTAGACACTCTTCTCATTATCAATCAGTGCTTCTGTTTAATAGATTACCTATTGATTTAAAAATTATGTTATAGAAGAGTAGCTTCAAAAATACTTTAAAAAAGTTCCTACTGGGTAAATGTTATTATAGTGTTGACGAGTTTCTACATGCTAATGCTATTACATAAAATTCAATGTGTTTTGAACTTTTGATAACATTTTAAGAAATAATGGAATTTTTTTTTGTTACAAATGTAGTTATTATTTTTGTGTGATATTTAAAACTTTAAATTTTATTGATAGTGGTGAGATTCGACTTGTAATTTTTATTGTAATTTTATAGTTATTGACATTTTATATAATTTAATTGTATACCAATTATTGTAATCACATATTTTTATTGTAATTTTGTATAGTTGTAAATTTAGTAGTTAATATTTTCAATTGTACTTTTTGCATGAATTATTCAACACAATTTGTATTGTTCAGAATAAAAAATAAATAAAATAAATAAATATGTATATAATCTTAATACATATAAATTACGTGTCACGTTGTTTATCCGCGATGGAATCCTAATCTATTTAACCGATTTTAATCAAATTTGCACACTGTGTGGTCCAACTGGAAAAATAGGGTAGTTTTTTTTGCCCATGAGTAACCCACAATTTTTTTTTGTGACTCAGGATTTTTAATAGGATATGACAAAGGGTCGTCGAAAATGGCAGAACAACGTCTGCCTGACAAGCTAGTGTATATATATCATTTACATGTCACGTTGTTTGTCCGCGATGGACTTCTAAACTACTCAACCGATTTTAATAAAATTTGCACACTGTGTGCAGTTTGGTCACACCTGAGAGATAAGATAGTTTTTTTGCCCATGAGTGACCCACAATACTTTTTTTCAAATTTAAGGATTTTTAATAGGACATGACAAAGGATCGTCGAAAACGGCAGAACAACGTCTGCCTGGCAAGCTAGTATAATATAAATACCTATAACCCAAGGTTATTAACATTTTTCACCAGTGGTGGCAACACCTCACACGAAAACTTAGAGCTATTAGTAACATCCCATCAGACACATCATGCAAGCCTTACTTTAAGAGTTTAAACATACACCTTTTCCCTGCCTCTATATATTTGAGGTAGGCAAATTTGTAATGCAAAACAAGCACTTATTCTTACAAACTAAAGATGTAACAAAAATAAATTTACGGAACCCACATAAATTAGTACTTGACACAATTCCAAAAAGTAAGCGCTTTCAAAAAAATAGCTATGCAATGTGTAACACGATATATAACAAAATACCCTACATATTAAGCAATTACCTTATAATAAGTTTAAAATGTCACTTCGACGATGGCTAGTAGATAAAGCATTTTATACAGTAAATGAGTTTTTGAATTGTAGTGACTAAGTAGTTTTATCGTTAATTAAAAATCGATGCATTAATTAATTAATTTATATATATATGAATTTATTTATTTATAAAGATTTTAAAATGACGTTTTAGTTTGTTTATATAGATGAAATTTAGTAATTGATTTTATTATAAAAACTTTTGATTATTTGCATGCTGTTGAAAACAGCTAAATAGGTTTTCTTAACACATAACAGTATAATATCAATAAGAAAACATTTTGTACCTATTTAGTTGCAAATAAAGAATTTGAATTTGAATTTGAAAAAACAAGATTAAAGTTTTTGTTGTCTGTACTTTTTGCGGTGAATGACGTCACGCAGCTGTTATTGTGAGAAGGTTCCATCGCAATATCAACGTGTGGAAATTATACGAGTATACAGCTAAACATGTTGGTGATTATGATAGTAAGATTAGTAACAAATTTTTAAGTATCTATATTATCAAATAGTTTTAATTTGTTTAATATTAGCTGCAAATTCACTTACTTGTGGAATGTTATATCACTTTCCTTTTGGTAACGAGTTTTACAGATTACGCACACTCTCGTTATTATTAAAAATTATTCTTATTATGTAACTAATATTATATATATCGGCGCAACAAAGTGTAAGCGACGTATCGGCGCATTACTTAAACAATTATTATTGAGTTAAAAATGAATAGACGTTATTTCAACTTCTCAAATAACTTTATAACCTGATTTTTATAACATGTGTCTTTATTTTTATAATTAGTTGATTATTGTTACTAGATAAATAATTTAAAATGCTTTAATTCAAAATATAATTAAATGCGGGTTGTCGCTATAACAATTTGAAGGTAATCATTCTCAAAGCGCAGGAAGTGGGGATGGCTTGCGCGCACTCGCATTCGGTAAAGGCGCGCGACGGCTGGGGCAGGATTCATTCTTGCTCGAACTGTCGTGCTGTTCGGACTGTAAGTTGAATTTGTGAGCTATAAATTGTGAACAATAGTTATTAATTATTAATAGTAATTAATAGAATCAGTTAAGAGTAAATAAGTGATTTTTATTATTAAAAGAAAGCAATAATTAGTGAAACTAGAAATCCCAATAATGACGTCATCAATGATGACGTCATAGTTTTTAAAAATACTGCTGGTGCTGATATTCCGTCATACACAATCAAACAACATAAAATACTTTCGTTTTTATTTTAAAAGTTCAAAATACAGATTTTTTAAATAAGACAACAGACTTTGGCATATTTGGCATAGTGGCGCTACAAATTGGCAAAGACATTTTGTATGGTATAGCCAGCCCATGGTACTTGTATATATAGAGGTCAGTGAGGTGAACCCATTTTGATAATTCTTATTTGATTGAAACGTAGTCGAATACAATACAATACAATACCCTTTATTGAATACTAAAAAATACAACATAACAAGAAACACAAAGAAAAAAAAAGGGTTATGCACAATTTCTTCCAGACAACCTAAAGTCGAAGTCAATTAAATAATGAGTATTATTATAATTGCGAGTACATTGATGCTGTTCTCATTTTATTTATATTAACATCGGTTGTACAAAGTATTGAAATTTACCACTTGTTAATTTAATTGCGAATCATACTAATTGGAAATCATGCACAGGAGTAGCATGGCCTACTAATTGCTCTATAACCTTCTCAGAAATTAAAATGTCTGTGGGTGACATATATGGGCTGTAACCTAACCACCGCTTATTGCAGAATAGTAAACATAAGAAAGATTTTTATTTAATTAATAAGCTGTGCAGAGCCGTGGTAGCTCAGATGATTAACGGTCGCTGTAAATATAACAAAACGCGAGTAACCCGGGTTCGATCTCCGCCGGCACCAATGAAATTGTTAATTGCGATTTTAAGTGCTGATTTACCACGTGCTCGGCGGTGAAGGAAAACATCGTGAGGAAACCTGCATGTCTGAAGAATAAGAAAAACATATTTCGAAAACACGTGAAGTTCGCCAACACGCATTGAGGCAGCGCGACGGACACTTCCTTGCCCTAATACCCTCTCAGAAATGAGGGGAGACCTGTGCCCAGCAGTGGGACGTATATAGGCTGTAACTTTAATAAGCTATGCCCCGCGGTTTCACCCGCGCATATCTCGCGTCTTAGCCGCGAGCAAGGAGATTTCAATATATATAAATGTCCAGTATAGTAGTAGTATAGCAGACTAAACTAATATAGTAAAGTAAAATTTTATCGACTCACCCTCTCACAATCTTGTTTTGTGGGTAGATAGTAAAATAAAATATAAATTATCTACCCATCTTATTGTTTCTAATAATTTAACTCGTGCATTGCGCGCGATTTGTGTTGTTTATTGTGTACCCGCGAACACCTAAGTTTTGTTTTCGAATAATGGTAAGCAGGAGCGCCTGACGGCGCTCCTCTTTACTCTCTACGGTGCACCAGGGCGCTGTGGTGCATGCTTTAGGAATCCATCTCACGCCTGTCACCCAGAGGGGTAGGCGGAGACTACGGACTTCAATTTGGTACGATCCTGACACACCTCTCTCGCCACTTCCACATCCATATCTACGCATACATGCTGTTCGGTGAAGGGTACTCTTTAATTTGGCCTCTTTTCAATAAATCGGCAATTTGGTCGATAAACTTTCGCCTAGGGAGTACCTTCCCGTCTCTGCCGTTCATTTCTGCAACATAAATTTTTTGGTCACTTTTCCTCATTCATTATTTCTTGAAAAAACCATATCACAATAGGGTTTTCATTTATCAAAGATTTTTTGATACCAGATACAATAAAATAATTACGATAACAAAAACTAGTAGTAAATATGTTAGATAGTTTTTTCTGTTCAGATCTATTCTGTAGATAATATCTTTACTATTTACAGGTTCGGAATAGCGCGTCGCGGTCGCTGCATGATTGCTGATGATATGGGACTAGGGAAGACATTTCAAGCCTTGGCTATAGCGAGCTACTATAGACACAATTGGCCCATGCTCATTGTTACTACCTCTTCTATGAGGTAATTGAAGTTGTACTTACTCTATGTATTTTTTAATTGAGCTAGTTGGTGGTAGATAGACTTCCTAACTAACCATAATGAATGTAACATATTTTAATTTGACAATAATGATCCCTTAAGGGTACACTAGTCACTCATTCTTCCATACAAACGTAGTCTGGCGATTACTCCTCTGTTTGATGATGTACGTTCAAAATAAAAAATTATTTCAATTTGCCTCATCATTACCCAGCCCTGTATGGAAACAAAAAAGTAAAAAAGAATATATTTAAAAGTACTAATTTTAACACATCTTTGGTCGGGAATAAATACCATAAGAAGAACGAAAATTGCAAAACAGTTACCATACAGGGATAGATTAGGGTGTTCAAAAGTGCAAATAGTTTTATTTTCAACAGATACATTCAATAGATTTTTCATGATATCCAGATTCCCAAAGGTCTGTTTATAAAATTTCGCGCGCTCGTTTTGTTGTAAATCATCATGCCTTTCGCTTTCGCACGTGATGTCGGCTGAGATAGCATGCATTTTAACCCCGCCCACCACTTAGTTCGTGCCATCGACTAGGGCCACATTAAGCAAGGTCAGCAAACATTTCTTCAATATTCTGTATTGAACAACGCTAGTTTGGGTCTCCTATAATGATTTTCATAAACTACTTTTGTTAATTTTCAAAATATCAAGCTTCACACGTGGTATAGCAATGATGAAAAAGATACTTAGAAACTAGGCATTCTATCTTAATCCTCAGGTGTGACAACAACAACAAGCATCTGCTTTTGATTCTTAGTCTAGAATAGATGTGGATTTCTATAGACCACACCATTCTATTACTACCAGATGGACTCCTTTGTCACCCTTATTTTTTTTAAACGGCTTCATAGTGGCTTGCCCAACCACCATTACTCTGGTAATGTAATTAAATTTGTAGAAAGAAATCAAAAACAAAGCTCCTGATGACTGCTTTCGGCTAAGATGATACAACGAGTAACACTAAATACAGATAGTCAGGTTATTGGAACCCTACCTCACTTTGACTCAATGTGTCATCTTCTTCTTAACCAGCCCACAAAATTTCATTGGTGGATATGGACCTCTACCATTGGAGGGATTTGTGGACGGAGCTGTCGTCAGTAGACTAGCTATTTTACATCCGACGTAAACGAGATAGGTGCGAGGAGCGTTCAATGTATTCTCGGTTTTAAGGTGATTTGCTAATAATGTGGGTAATAAAAAAAAACCATTAGCTAACGACACTACCGAAGAGTACAAAAGTGAAATTTCGTCTTGATAACTCCATTACTTCTTATGTAACCTTCAGTCATAGACGACGGGAATAACTGAAACGACAATTTTGAAAAAATCAAACACCGTGCGGTGATTAAATTCCTCACTAAAGAAGGAAAAACTAAAAAAAACATCCATGATGAAATAGTTGCCGTTTACCAAGACTCTGCTCCTTCAATGTCAACCGTACACAAGGGTTCAAGTGAATTCAAAAGAGACGGGAAAAGCATCAAATATGATCGCTACCCGGGTGGGCCAATCACAGAAGAAAATGTGAAAATTATTGAATTTGTATTAGAAGATGCACGAGTAAGAATTAAGATGTTAGCAGAAATGACTAACCTACCCGTTGGTACCATACACACCATATTTCATGACTATCTCAACTTCACAAAAGTCAGTGCAAGATGGGTGCCGAGAATTCTCACTGCGCTTCAAAATCAGGCGCGGGTTGACTGTTGTAGGGAGTTTTTAGAGCTGTGTGGGGACGACCCAACAACTGTTTTCGATAAAATAGTTACAGGAGATGAAAACATACAGGGGTGTTATGATCTTGAAAGTAAACAGGAGTCTATGCAATGGCATAAAAAGGGATCAGACCCCCACAGACGAGAAGTTGAAAGTTACTCCATTGGCAGGTAAAATCAGGACCACAATGTTTTGGGATCCAAAGGAGTACTATTAATCGAGTACACAAAAAAAGGTGAAACCATCAATGAAGACAAATACTCAGCCATATTACGCCGTTTGTGAGAAGCGATAAAAGAAAAGAGAAGAGGAAAGCTGATAAAAGGGAGTGCAGCTTCTTTATGACTGCACCGGTTCACATGGCGCGGCTCTCCAAGACTGCTGTACGAGACTGCGGGTTTGAGGAAATTAACCACCCTCCAAACAGTCCAAATGTAGCCCCTGGTGACTACTTTTTATTCCATAACTTAAAAATAACATTCGGGTAAAGCCATTGCTGACGATAAAGAGCTCAAGTCCGTTATAAACATTGAAGTAATATGTACTTACGTACTAGAACAGCTATTTCAAACAAAACATGTGCGCTACTCTGTGTTCGCGCGGTTGGTTTTTTTTATCATAGAATAAACATAGGTAGAATGATCAGTAGGTAATAATAGATTGTATTGTTAAATAGGTAAATTATATCGAGAAAAATTTTCAAATTTTGTCATTTATTTTGTATATTATATTTGCTTATTTAATATTATATTACATAATATTATATCACAATTATATTTTAATGATATTTTTATCTGAATATTTTAAAAGGTATCTATGTCAAATATAAAAAACATACTAAATGTATGTTTAACAAAACTTATTAATATACAAATTTAATATACAAATATATTTATTTAAATTAAAATAAGAGTCGTTCATAAATGCCGGGCACGCGAGAGTTAAAAATGGACGAATTTATTCCACTTTGACTTAATATAAAAGAATAACGAGCAGATTTAAATATAAAAAATTGGCGCAATTATGATAACTCATATATGTTTCTACAAAAAAAATTGTGTATAATAATATATTCGTCCTATACTTAAGTACCCACGGAAATGTCGCATCTGAACAAATTAATTCCATAATCTATTTTACATGACACAAGATGGCGTCTTAGGAATAACTTTATTTTAATTAATTTATAATACTTTTTTATTCATTAAGTATCTTATAAACCGATGAAAAGTAATACCTTGGTTATTACTGACATTTCTTGAATTATTTGCGCAATATCTAAGTATACACGACGGCATATTTTTATCAAGAGATTTTTTTTTAATCAACACAACACGTGACAACCCTACAAGCGCCTAGCGAGTGACTGATTAAAGTGCGGTGCATGCACCGCAGTTGAGTGGAACAGAGTAGTTGAATGCAGTGTCGCCTCTAGTACGTAGTACATAATAGCTCAATGGTTGTAAATGAGCATTCTTCTGGTTAAGATGAAGAATATTATTTCAAGGGAATAGAAAAGCTTTTTCACGAACAAGTAAATGTATTGATATCATGGGAGACTATATTGAAAAATAAAAAATATTAAGAATACATTGAACACCCCACGTAGATTGGTTTATATAATAATTTCCAATGAAATCTTGCTATGGGGTAATGCGACTGACATTGAAATTATCTTTATTTTGCTTAAGAGAACCATAAGAGTAATTTATGACTAAAGTGAAAAATAAAACATATTTCATAATTTTATCATCTAACATTGGGTATGTACCGAGAATACATTGGATGCCCCTCGTAGCCATGAGAACCTTCTAACATTTCCCATACCCGCCACTTTTAATTGATTAGAAATATTCATACAAGATTTGTTTTGGGTGAATAGGGAGACATGGCAAAGCAAGATCCACGAGTTGCTTCCTTCCGTCCCTCTGATGAATATTGTGACACTTAGCAGCAGCAAAGATACTCAACTTGTAGCAGACCGACAGGTAAATATGATCTATATTTGATGATTTTTTTACTACGTTTTTTGTAACATACGCGTCACGCACCTGGTTTCTGTATTTAATAAAAGATGTTTCGTTTTCCTTTTCCATCATTTATTGAGTGCAAAGGTGCATGAAAGCGAAGAGTCATAGCGTCACGCCTGTAATCCTGGAGAGGGTAGCCAAAGTCCAAAGAGCAGCATTTAGTTAAAAAAGTGAAAAAAGTTATAGGTGTCAAGTCCGTCGCCTACATAGTCACAAACCCAATATCCCATTAGTCGACATGCTGCAATGCAAAATTTCAATATTTAAACTATTAAATACACAACATAAATTACATTCTTAATAAATGTTCACAGTTTTAGTGGTGATACTTGTTTCTTGTTCGAATGAAACAACATCTTATGCATTCAAGTATCTATTGTTTTTGTTTGTTCTACCCGAAATATAAGTCTGTACCATATTTTGTTTGTCAATAAACATTATTATTATTATAATTATTATTATTATTATGCTATGCGAGTAACGCAGTTGGCATATTCTTTTTTGTTATAAGGTTTTTAGATCTCGACAACAGTGCCACCTACCGGGCCCAATTGTGAATCTCAACCATCTAGGGTTCAAACGCACAAAAAAAGTTTCATCAAAATCCGTTGCGTAGTTTAAAAGCTCTAAATGTACAGATAGCGGGAAGCAGCTTTGTAAACTTTGTTGTACTGTGTAGAGACTAGTGACTAGTGATTCTCTGACTTCGCACTACACGCGAAGCTAAACCATTCTCGAATCAGCTTAATCACACACACAAAATTTTCTTCAAAGTCAGTCCAGCCGTTTAGGTGGAGTTCAGTCACATACACACGGACAGAAGAATTATTTATATGTAGAACAAGTTTTGGTTACCTATGGATCTATTCCTTTTCAACTGTGATTAAGAACATGATATTATTATTGGCTTTAAAAACAATGACCTGAGTGAATGAATAAATTCACGGCAATTCTCGGTGGCATATGTAATACATAATACGCTACTGACATTTATATATGTACTATATATACTTATTTAAGTTTAATTATTTTAAAATTTGTTTTTTCAGACTGAAGTAGTGATAGTGAGTTACAAGATAACAAGTATGCACACTGACTTGTTGAAAAATAAGAACTTTGGTGTTGTTATTATTGTAAGTGAAATTTTTATTATTTTTGGTTGTTGGTGAAAATTATTTAAGAGTGCGGAACGCTGGTGATAAGTAAAACTAGTTAAGTTTGTATTCTGAAGCATTGTGAGGTGATGCTGGATCTATTTATTACAGCCTATAAATTCTACCACAGCCTATACAAATCCACTGCTGAACATATGCCTCCCCTGTAGATTGCCACATATGGAGGATTTTGCCATAGTTGCCACACTTGGCAGGCGGGTTGGCAACCGCAGTTTTTTTATTCAGCTGATTTCGGGAAGATGCTGCTGCCCATCTCCTGTTTTAGTTTTCCTCTGCTCCTCTTACGACACCTACGGGACGATATGCGGTTGTAATAATATTCTTACATGACCACTGCAGTCTATATGTTGGATAGCATTGTCAAATTCCTACAAATTACGTTACTAAAATAAAAAGAGGTTACCTATTGCAACTGTTAGTTTAGTTTACTACGAGCTATTTTCCGCAACTCCACATCTGAGGGCATATTTTGCATGGGAGTATTATGAAATCTCCAGGAAGTAGTTCAGCCGTCCTTTGATGTGATCTTCTGAGTGATCTCGGCGTGTCGAGATGTTTAGCCCTGTATGCGGCGATCTCTGGACACCCCAGCAACTAATATACTGGTTTACATTTTCCTATTGTACACTCACTATTGTATTCCGGTACGAAGGGTTAGAGCTGGTATATAAACACACAATTAAGTATCGATTGATTGATTTTTTTTTCTCTTTTTTAAAATACGTTACCCCCACACTAGGATTTTCTCATGTATCGTGGCAGTTTACATACATAAATTGCACAAGGATAAACATCCAGACCCGGAGCAATTACTTGTAGGCCATACAAATACTTGTTCCGTGTGGGATTCGTCCCGCGGCCCTCAGCGCTATAATTCATTGCTAAGATACTGCGCCAGGGAGCAGTCAAATTGATTAAGTCAGGCTGGTATCCGCATCTTTTAAGAGCGTATTCTGCTTCTAGACAGGAATTATAAATTATGTAAGCTACTAATAAGTTCAGGGAGTGACCTCGAAGATCCATATTTATGGGCTGTAGTCACTTTCAAGTGACCTGCCAGCTCGTTTGACAATCTAAGGTCATAAAAAAGATCTTTGCTTAGTTTGGTTGAAGTAAAAGGTAGTAGCTAGAGACACATCATTTTGTTTTCTTGAGCGCATGGTTGCAAAGTAACTATTAATATCTTTAGTAATTTGACTTAAAGTGATATAAACAGAACAAGACTCAACGGCATCTTAAAATTGGGCAGCGTTTGAATATTTGGTCATAACTCATAACACACGGCAATGATTTTTATATATTACTGGGTAGTACCCGGCGAATAGCTGCCGCAGAAGGAATAACTATTGTAATATCGAGAGTTATATTGTTTAATTAGGAATTTTAATATATTTATTGAAGTTGAAGATTTTGTCGGTATGATACGCGTTATTAACTTACAGTGGATGGCACTGTAAGTTAATTGTACTATGCCTTATAACCTTCGCGCGAGTGCAAGCAATAAATTGACAAAGTTTAACTGTAATCCGATGAACGGTATGGCAGCGCATAAAATACGAATCATCATCATCGTCATTACGTCATCATTACAGCCTTTCACAGGTCCACTGCTGAACATAGGCTTCCCCCAAGGTATGCCACAACGCACGGTCCTGAGCCACCTGCATCCATCGACTTCCTGCATGTCTTATCAGGTGGTCACTACATCTAGTGGGGCGTCGCCCTACACTTCACCTACCGGTACGAGGCTGCCACTCGAGAACCTTTTTTCCCCAACGGTTGTCGGTTCTTCGACCTATATGGCCGGCTCATTGCCACTTCAGCTTACTAATCCGTTGGGCTATGTCGGTCACTCTGGTTTTACTGCAGATATGCTCATTTCTGAGTCTATCACGCAGTGAAACTCCGAGCATAGCCCTATCATAGCTCGCTGAGCGACCTTGAGCGTCCTCATACGGCCATCCACTGTAAGTTAATTGTACTATGCCTTATAACCTTCGCGCAAGTGCAAGCAATAAATTGACAAAGTTTAACTGTAATCCGATGAACGGTATGGCAGCGCATAAAATACGAATAAACAAACATAAATGTTTATATATTAGATAATTAAGATGTACAGTAAGGTGCAGTTCGTTCTCAGGACGAGTCGCATTACCTGAAATCGCACAAGTCGCAGTGCACGGCGGCGCTGCTGGCGCTGTGCCGCGGCAGCGCGCGCGTGCTGCTGCTGAGCGGCACGCCGGCGCTCAGCCGCCCGGCCGAGCTCTACACGCAGCTTGCTCTCATCGAGCCACGATTCTTCCCCTCCTACACCGAATATGGTTACGTGTCTTTCTTCTTTCTCTATGGGTGGATCTCCACTTGTAGCATGAAGGTTAGAGACCAGGAAAACGATCACTACGTACTAAAGCATAGCCCGCCTGTCCTTTTAAATTGTAGAATACATAGCGGCGCTGACGTCGGTGAGTAGTGACTGCGAAGTTAGCTGTTTATGAGTACAAGTAGGTGAAGTTAGTTGAATAATGTACAAATTTTAATTTTTTCGTAGAAAATTTTCATGCTCCGTAAGAGAAATATTTTATTGTGCGTGGATGTGCAAGTGGTTTAACAGTCTATTTTTATAATGAAAATGACTTTTATTGACTGAACTTAATGATCGCAGCGCCTCACTGATGGTGTCCATATTTCTGAGACACTATTTTCTACGGCGATCGTTCTCCTGTTCTCTAACCTTCATGACTTGTAGTGTGGCCGGTCTGGGTATACTTAAAAATTCTGGCATTACCCATAGTCGCCTCTTACATCTAAAGGACAAAATGTCAATGGTTATCGTAGTTTGTATGCTTAAAATAAATTTTATTACACGGTAAAAGAAATTACAACAACGCACATTTAATGCCAATAGTCATTATTTTTTTCATAGAATAAGAACGTGCACACAGCTCTCCTGATGGTAAGTGGATACTGTGGCCAATAGACATCTACATTTTATTCTCCATTACAATTTAAAATGCAGATACGTTGTATTCTGTGAGTGTGGTACTCCAGTCAGACCGACCGAAACACCTTTTTTTAAAAACATTATATCAAGTAATTATTTATGAATCGTTTAAAGTCTTTTTTTAAGTCTTCTTAAGTTGCTGAATGTTTATAATATAAAATGTTTTATATACATCTCGTATGTAATAAAACGAATCGTTATGGAGAACAAAACGTTTCTTGAATGTAGGAATCGAACATTACTCATCATGCTTGACGATATACTGGGTGACCATTTTTACCGTCTAGAAAATATGGTGTTTTGCGTAAGTGGAATAGAAGCTATCCTCGAAAGTACTTGTAAAATACATATAACCGGTGACAGTAGTCAAATGCGATTCGAACAAGATATAACTTAACTAGATAGACAAAATTTCTGAATATTCAAAAAAATACATAAAAACAATTCTTACTACGGCGGCCTTTGCGTATAACTAAAAATACGTTACGATCGCTAATGAATGAAAGTTGTAAAAGCGAGCGAGACGCATGCACATCTTTCGTTATATAGGCGCCAGGCGGCCGAGTGGGAGGAGAAAGGCCGACACATCGTTGTAGTCAACATTTTTAGAATCAGCGCGCCTTACGTCGCCAAAAATTTTTTTTGTTAGTGTGATAGTTGTGGTAGTGTGACAGCTGAACATGAGGTCCTGGGTTCGAATACCGGGCCGGGACAAAAAAAAAACAATTTATTGAGTTTTTCTGTCAAGAAATTCTCAGTCTCTCTCTCTGCCCGGAGTCAGGAAGTTGGCGGTGTCTCACCCCCGTGCCTCAGAAAGCACGTAAAGCTGTTGGTTGGTGGTTTTTTTCACGTATAATGTCAATGACCTTAAAACGTTTAGTTTAAGTAGACCTCCCAGTACTAGTTTAACTAAGAAAAGGATTTAAAATAAGTAGCAATTCTTTTAAATACATAAACACTCACGCCTGTCACCCAGAGGGGTAGGCAGAAACTACGGACTTCCATTTGGCACGAAAACCCTTTCGCCTCCTTTTACATCCATAATATCTACGCATACATGCTTCTTAAGGGTACTTCTAACGTGGCCCATTTTCAAAATATCGCCAATTTGGTCGATAAACTTTTTTCTAGGGCGTCCCTTCCCGACTCGGCCGTTCACATCTGCCATATAAATTTGCTTTGTCACTCTTTCATCATTCATTCTTTCTACGTGACCAAACCACCGAAGCATTCCTTTCTTAATCCTGGTCACAACATCATCTTGCATACCACATTTATCTCTTATCACGCAATTTCTCACCCTGTCATTCAGATTCAACCCTAGCATATTCCTTAAAGACCGCATTTCTATTCACTTCTACACATTTATTCTACTTTCGTGCTTCTTCTGCCACACCCAGCTTTCACTACCATACATTAAAGTAGGGACTAACACAGCATTATGAATTACCATACGTGCCTTTTTTGACACATTCTGGTTCTTCATAATGAGTGTAGTGCCCCATTCACTCTATTCCCTGCATTTACTATGTAAAAGATACCGAATAAAGATTTTTCATTTTTTTCATTTTCATTTTCATTTTCATTTTCAACCATCATTTGCAACTCGGCCGCCGATGACGCAAATATGACTTGATCATCGGCATATAGAAGGCATTTGACGGTTAACTCGCCCATTCTTAACCCACATTCTTCATCTTTCAAAGTTTGCAATTCTTTTAAATCTTTAATTAATACCTAATGCGCGCGTGTCGCATGTTTCATCATATCATCATCATCATCATTACAGCCCTTCACAAGTCCACTGCTGAACATAGGCCTCCCCCAAGTAATGCCACAAAGCACGGTCCTGAGCCACCTGCATCCATCGACTTCCTGCTCGTCTTACCAGGTCGTCACTCCATCTAGTGGGGGGTCGCCCTACACTTCGCCTACCGGTACGAGGCTGCCACTCGAGAACCCTTCTTCCCCAACGGTTGTCGGTTCTTCGAGCTATATGGCCGGCCCATTGCCACTTCAGCTTTCTAATCCGTTGGGCTATGTCGGTCACTCTAGTTCTACTGCGGATATCCCCATTTCTAAGTTTATCAAGCAGAGAAACTCCGAGCATAGCCCTCTCCATAGCTCGCTGCGCGACTTTGAGCGTCCTCATACGGCCAGCAGTGAAGGACCTCGTCTCGGTTCCGTAGGTCATCACAGGCAACACGCACTGGTTGTACAACTTAGTTTTCAGGATTTGAGGTATACCTGACGAGAAGATGCGTCGTAATTTCCCGAACGCTGCCCAGCCGAGTTGAATCCGTCGATTGACTTCTCTGTCGAAGTTGGACTTACCTAGTCGGACTATTTGTCCCAGGTAAACTTACTCGTCAACAACTTCGTACTTAGTGCTCCCAACAACTACCAGCATAGGTGTGACATGGACATTAAACATGATCTTTGTTTTGTCCATATATTCATCTTAAAATCTATCTGCTGAGAGGCGCTATTGAGGTCATTGAGCATAGTGCTTAAGTCCTCTAGCGATTCTGCCATAAGGACTATATCGTCGGCAAATCGAAGGTGAGTGATGTACTCGCCATTGATGTTAATACTGTATCCTTTCCAGTCTAGTAGCTTGAAAACGTCTTCCAATGCAGCGGTGAAGAGTTTCGGGGAAATAACGTCACCCTGTCTTACACCTCTCTGCAGTTGGATAGGTTTCGTACTCTGGTTCTGTACTCGGATATGACTCTCGAAAACAGCACGTAGACGCGGCTCAGAAGGGATGTCTGTCTGTAGTTCTTCAAGATGGCGTTGTCACCTTTCTTGAAGAACAAGACCACCGCACTTCTGCTCCTCGCCTCCGGAGTAGTGCCACCATGGAGGACGGAATTAAAGAGCCTCTGAAGGACTTCAAGTACCAGTTTTCCACCCGCTTTCAGAAGCTCCGCTGTAATTCCATCCTCGCCCGGGGACTTGCCGTTTTTAAGGTGCTGGAGAGCCATTCTAATCTCGCTCAGACTGACGTCCGGGGTATCATCGGAATTGTGTCGGATAAGACTTGCTCTTGGATCGTTACTCACACTTGCGTGTGGTTCCGACGATGATGTGTACAGCTGCCCATAGAACCTCTCAATCTCACTCAGAATCTCAGGTGTCCCGGAAACGATGCTGCTACACTCAGTCTTCAGCTTTGACAGTTGGCTCTTACTGGCAGACAGATCTCTGGCAAAGACTTTGGAGCCCTGGTTCCACTCTATCGCTTCTTTAATACGAGCAGTATTAAAGTTGCGTAAGTCTCGCCGCATGCATTTAGAGATCTGTCTGTACAGTTGCCCGTATGCTGTCAAATCTGTTGACGATTGCAGCCTCATCTCCTGTCTAACAGCCATGAGATTAAGAGTGTGATCGGAGAGTTTTTGTGCTCTTCTGCGGCGGGTCTTGCAGAACTTAGCTCCGACCGCATGGACAGTTTCCACGAGCTTGTCATTCATAACGTCCACTGCATTGCAATCTTTTAGGCACTGAAAGCGTTTACGTAACTCGAGCGGAAAGGTTTCGGGATTCTGGATTAGAGCACGAGGGGGACGGAGCGTTGACTTCATTAGACGAGACCTCTCCAAATTAACGTTTAGATTCAGTGTGCCTCTAACCATTCGGTGATCGCTGCCAGTTTTCACCCTTGCGATCACTGAGATATCACTGAACAGTTGGCGTCTGGTCGTCATAATGAAGTCAATCTCATTTTTTGTCAAACCGTCGGGGCTCGACCAGGTCCACTTCCTGTGAGGCCGCTTCTGGAAGAAAGAGTTCATCATAAAGAGTCCCTCTTTCTCCATAAAGTCGGCCAGCTGCTGGCCCCTACGGTTCCGTTGCCCTACTCCAAATTTCCCTAAATTCAGCTCACCGCTTTCTCTTGTGCCTAGTTTTGCATTGAAGTCTCCCATCAACACCGTGTAGTGAGTTTTGGAGGAATGCATGGCTCTGGAAATATCCTCGTACATTTCCTCCACCTCCTAATCGGGATGTGCCGAGGTTGGTGCTTAAACCTGTATGACCTTCAGCGAATACCGTTTGGTGATTCTGAGTATCAGGTACGCGACCCTCGTCGACACACTCCCAATCTTTACAACGTTGTTGACGAGAGACTTGTGGACGATAAATCCGACACCTCCTTGGGACAGATGGTCGCCCTCCCGGTGATAGAACAAGTTGCCGGACTCGAGGATTACCGTGTCCTCCCCTTCTCTTCGGACCTCGGATAATCCAATAATATGCCAGCGCAACTTGTCTACCTCTTCTTCCAGCTTCAGTATCTTCTCGTCAATCCTCAGGGTGCTTTCGTTGTATGTTGCCAGGTCGAGTCGTCGTAGGTGGCAACCGAACCTCCACCGGAGATTCTTAGCACCCCCTGCCCCGCCCTTACCGTGGTCGCCACCGTAGCCAGGAATAGCGGGGCCGCCGGGGACTGGGGGCCGTTTATTTGCGTCGTTGTTCATGGGGGGATATTTGCCATAGTTGCCACGCTTGGCGAGCGTTTTGGCAACCGCAGTTTTTTTATAATATTATTGTGTGCTATTAGGAAGATTCTGCTGCCCATCTCCTGCCTGTCTCCCTCTGTCGCCTCTTACGACACCCACGGGAAGATATGGGGTAGTGGATATTTTATATAAATAATACAACCGCCACTACACTACATTTGTAAATAGCTAAAAATGTGAAACAGTAAATGGTAAGTAGGTAAATTACCTTTCGTTTCAGATTATTATTTTCGTGATTTCGAAGTGACAAGGTCAAAGATGCCTACTAAATATATATTTTTAATGCCGTTCGTAAAGTGGGGTGGATATGATTTGAATTTAGGTAGATTTTAGATTATTTATTTATTTAATTCAATTTTTTCACCTGTTACACAATATTTTTTTCCAGACGGTAAAAAAAGATCATCCAGTATATATTTTATGGATGACTTAGTTATACCACCATCTATCAAATATCGTAAGGTCATAATTTTTTTTGGCATTTCCCATAGTCGCCTCTTACGACACTCACATGACGTAAATGAGATGATGGATTTTTTATCTCGCTACCACATGAGAATGGTGATTGTACCTAAAGTTTGTTTGCTTATAACTTTCATTTCACTTAATGCCAATAGTAATTCTATATTAGACTTTTTTTTTTATAAAATAAAGGCGAGTACACAGTCCACATGATGGAAAGTGAATATTGTGGCCCATAGACTTGTTGTTTGATCTCTTCTTAATTATGAATCAGAGTGCAGATAATGCGTTGTCATGATAGTTCCTCACATTCACTTTCATTCCCCGTTCTTATAATGACACGTCCATTAATATAACCGTTATTCCTCTTGATGATAGTATTTCTGAAAATATGTTTTCTAATGATTTGCCAAATAGGTAAGAGGTATTGCGCCGGAAAGCAGACGAGCTTTGGATGGGACATGACGGGACAGTCGAACCTCACTGAGCTGCAGATCATCCTGCAGAAGAGATTCCTCATCAGGAGAACAAAAGAGCAAGTTCTGACAAAGCTGGAGAGTAAAACGAGGTAAGTACTTTTTCCTTTATTAATAATAATTGGGCAGTATAGTGAAATCTGTATAGACAAGAAATATTATTCTAGAAAGAAAACATTTGGAAGTCAGTAATATGGTATAGTAATATGCTATATCGAATACCGGCGTAAATTAGCAGCATACCCTCATACCTGCTGATACAATAGTGTGGGACGTCACACACCAAATAACAGAATCATAAACATATGAAACAAGTTGCTTTGAGACGTGGTTGATGCTCCCTCTGTGTTTTAAAAACTAACTGGACAAATGATGCAAAGACAATCCAATTTAGTGTATTCTTGGTGTGGACTTGGACTATTATAAATACCAACAGATAGAGGCATATCAGCATAAGCTTCAGCACGAAGTAGTATTGAGTAATAGGCGACTATTACTACATACTACTTCCTGCTGTAATCTTAACACAGTTACAGCGTGGCACTTCTTACAATGGATATCCTTAAAGACCAATGCAGTTTCGAGACTCATAATTTTGCAAAAATGAAAAATATTAAATCTTGGCTCTTGTACTACATACTGATGTACCGATTATGGTAGCCAGAGAAATCTACTTGTCTCATTGTCGTCCGAGTTCGTCCACAAAGCTAGCATTATACATAATCTGTTACATAATTAGATAAATGGGTATATATTATAGCAAGGTTTATTTATTGCAGCACTTAATGTTTTTTTTTATAGGAGGGGATAACAAACGAGCACACAGTCCACCTGATGGTAAGTGGTTGCTGTGACCCATAGACATCTACATCTATCCTCGATAAATCTCAGATGCTTCACAACATACATAAGCTTCTATTATACGCTGGTATTCTGTGAGAGCGTGGTCCTCCCCCGGTCGAGCCGACCCATTCGTGCTACAACTATACTATTAATATAACTGCAGCATGGCTCTATCACGTACAAACGTGTTGCAGTAATAAAAAAAAAAATATATATATATATATATATATATATATATATATATATATATATATACGTAGGCGGTCCCATAATGAATTGGCCTAACTATGAACCAATGAAGGAAATGAAACGAAACCAATTTTATTTTTCAATATAATCACCATGAATACTAACACACTTCTGACATCTGTGAATCAACATCTCTAAACCTTTATAAAAATAATCACATTTTTTTATCCTCAAAATGAATGAAGACGGCCGCCTGCAACTCTTCATCGCTTGAAAATTTTCGTCCTCTTAAGTCCCGCTTTAAATTTGGAAATAAATAATAGTCGGACGGGGCAATGTCTGGACTGTAAGGTGGATGTTGAACTTCTGTGAACCCGCATTGACGAACTGCATCCTTCGAAACACCAGCGGTATGAACAGGGGCGTTGTCATGGAGCAACAGGACACCTTAAGACAGCTTGCCTCTTCGTTTTTCCTTTATCTTGTCTCGTAATTTATATATTAAAGAAGCATAATATTCGCCGTTCAAGACTGTATTACGTTCTTTAAAATCCACCATCAAAATGCCTTGAAAATCCCAAAATATTGTGCACATCAGTTTTTTAGTCGATTGTTGCACCTTTGCCTTTCTAGGGGGCTTTCCACCCTTATAACGCCATTCCATTGACTCGCGCTTGCTTTGTGGATCATAATACAAGATCATAGTTTCATCACCAGTCACTAGCCGCTCGATCACAGTCTTTGGATTTTCGCCACAAAGATCCAAAAACTCCGAAGCGCAGCGCACTCTTTCCTGTCTCTGTACCGCTGAAAGAAGTTTCGGTACCCATCTTGCATTCACTTTTTTCATGTGAAGATGTTCATGGATCGCGCGATGAACAGTACTCTTAGAGAGCCCAAGCCTTGCTGCAATTTCTCTAATCTTCAAACGGCGGTCACTCAGAACCTCCTCTTCGATAAGAGCAATCGTTTCGGGAGTGAGCACTTCCACAGGTCGACCGTCGTGGCCAAAGTCTTCGACGGTTTCTCTCCCGAGGCGAAACTCTTTCACCCAATTTTTCACTGTGCTATAGGAGGGGGCAGACTCCTTATACACGCCATCCAATCGTTCTTTTATTTGGGCAGGGGATAAACCTTCTTTAAACAGAAACTTTATGACACTTCGATACTCAGTTTTCGACATTTTGAAAAAATGCGCGACTCTCGTTATTCAAATGCCTGTTAAACTAAGACTAAGCATTTCATGTCGATGCATGTTTCTTATATTAAGTGCATGATAAACGTACTATTTAATGCAACACAACATGTAGCGACATGTCGCGTTGAACTATATCAGGCCAGTTCATTATGGGACCGCCTGGTATGTATATATATATATATAATATATATATATATATATATATATATATATATATATAATTTTTACCGAGTTCAAAAAGGAGGAGGTATTCAATTCGACTATGTTTTTTTATTTGTGTTATCTCATAACTTTTCTCTGGGTAAACCGATTTTGATGATTCTTTTATTATCGGAAAGCTGGTGCTTTTCGTGTGGTCATATATAATTTAATCAAGATCTGACCAGTACTTTTTGATTTTTTTTAATAATGCGTATTTAATTGACTTCGAATACATTGATTCAGTCATATTGAAGTTGGTTGTGCAAATTTTTTTTTATTTTACTTGTTCATTATTGTGATTGTTCCTATAGAGAAACAGTACTTCTGGACCAGTCCCTGCTGCAGTTTACGAAGGAGGACCAAAAAGGTCTGTCGCAAATGGCTGAGACATACAAAAGTACCAAATCAACTGAGAGGCACGCCGCCCTTATCACTTTCTTCAGTGAATCGGCTAAAGTGAAGATTCCCGCTATCTGGTGAGTATATTTTTTTAAAATATTTTCCTCAAAGCCAAGTTATTGTTAGTTCTGGAATTTTATTAGATTGTTCTTTTATTTTCAATCTGCAGCTTTTTAAATATTTCCATTATTAATGAATATAATATCATCCCGTGAGTGCTGTAAGAGGCGACAGAGGGAATTGAAATAGGAGACGGGCAGCAGCGTCTTCGTGATAATCATCATCATCATCATTACAGCCCTTCACAAGTCACTGCTGAACATAGACCGCCCCCAAGTAATGCCACAAATCACGGTCCTGAGCCACCTGCATCCATCGACTTCCTGCATGTCTTACCAGGTCGTCACTCCATCTAGTGGGGGTCGCCCTATACTACGCCTACCGGTATGAGGCTGCCACTCGAGAACCTTTCTTCCCCATCGGTTATCGGTTATTCGAGCTACATGGCCGGCCCATTGCTACTTCAGCTTACTAATCCGTTGGGCTATGTCGGTCACTCTGGTTTTACTGCGGATATCCTCATTTCTGAGTCTATTACGCAGAGAAACTCCGAGCATAGCCCTCTCCATAGCTCGCTGAGCGACCTTGAGCGTCCTCATACGGCCAGCAGTGAAGGACCACGTCTCAGATCCGTAAGTCATCACTGGTTTTACAATCTAGTTTTCGGAGTTTGAGATATACATATATATGTCGAGAAGATGTGTCGTAATTTCCCGAACGCTACCCAGCCGAGTTGAATCCGTCGATTGACCTCTCGGTCGAAGTTGGACTTACCTAGTTGGACTATTTGCCCCAGGTAAACGTACTCGTCAACAACTTCGAGCATGGTGCTCCCAACAACTACCGGCATAGGTGTAACATGGACATTAAACATGATCTTTGTTTTGTCCATGTTCATCTTAAGACCTATCTGTTGGGAGACACCATTGAGGTCATTGAGTGCTTAGGTCCTTCAGCGATAAACACTTGATATAATAAAAAGCTGCCAAGAGGCAATCTATGGGGGAGGCCTATGTCCAACAGTGGACTGTACATAGCATAGGCTGTAATGAATGAATGAATAATATTTTATTTTTATTTTAGTAAATATATAAAGCAGCTCTTACGAGAGGAATCGACCGAGAAGTTTCTAGTATTTGCCCACCATCGGAACGTGATTGATGCTATATGCTTGACGCTAGACGAGACCGGCACGCACTACATATGCATCGTGGGCTCTACTCCGGCCAACACACGGGCAGTTAGTATCATTTTTTTAAATATTTTTAAAGTGAATAATGAACAGTCAAATTGTATGTGGAAAATGCAGTATAAAAAAAGCAAATCAGAAATATAGCAGTGTTATAATATATAGATTGTATCATAAAATTTTCTCTAGTGTCATTATTCAGGAAGAAATCAGAGGAATACGTTTGTATGGACTAAACGCTACCCGAATATATTGGAAACTAACTATTTCCCGCGACTTCGTTCGCGTGGGGTTTAATACGATTTTATTTCATGAGTTTTAATTTTTTGCGTAAAACCCAAAATCTTTTAAAAAATAAATAAAAGTAGCACTACTCCTTATAACAAGGGCCTGATGTACCCACGGGCTATAGGCTGGAGCCTAGGGCGCTGCGCTGGTCAAGGGGGCGCTGAGCTTTACTTTGCAATCACCACTTATGTACAAAATAAAATTTGTTATAATATTCTCAATCAATAATAGATAAGTGCCGCAAGTATTTTACTTGCTGTTTTTTATTTTTGGTATAAAACAAAAAAAAATTGTAAAAATAAGCTGAATTAGGTATTTGGTATAGAGCGTGCAACGAAAGATGAGATTTGACACACCACGTGGTTTGACTTGCGCAGTACTTGTTTATAGTGGTGCTTTTTCTTAATATAGGAGTGCAACTTTGTGAAATCTAAATTATGCCTTGAGGTAAAAAATTGAAAAGACAAAGTAGGAAAATGGTTTACGACGTGTATACCTATATATCAAAACAAGCAAAGTGTACAAAATATGAAGTTGGTGCAAATGCGTACAGCGGCCGCAACGAAAACATCTTTAATAACAGTAAAAAGAATTGTGAAGAAAATGAGCTCAGAGTTTCTACCAATTTTCCGAACTCCTGGAAAAAAATGATCGAGGCCCAAAAATTTAATCGACAGAGATGAATTTGACAAAGAAGTAATAAAAAAATATATTTTTTTATAGGATAGGGTGACAAAAGAGCACACAGTCCACCTGATGGTAAGTGGTATGCTATGGCCCATAGACATCTACATCTATCCTCTATACACGTATCCACAACTTTCATGTTAGGAAAAAGGAATTTCCGACACTTAATGAAATTTAAGCTAAGTTGCACGATGATATTGACTTTCGTGGTCCAAAAACGAGTCTACGCCGCATTTTGAAAGATCTTGGTTGTCGATGGAGGAGGACAGAAGCTAATAGAAATATTCTTATAGAAAAATCCAGCATTACACTGAAAACAATTGAATACCTGCAAAAAGTCAGAATATATCGCCAAGAAGGACGCCCTATTATTGTATATACTGACGAATCTTACATTCGTGCTTTCCACGCATACTACCTTCAAATCTTGGTCTGATGATTAGGAAAAAGGCTCAAAAACCTGTATCTAAAGGTCAGGTGTAGTAATTGTGCTCGCTCTTTCTGAAATTGGCTTCATACCAAACGATTTACTGACTTTTAAATCTGGTTCAAAAAAGCGGGTGACTACCACGACGACATGAACTACGAGAATTATCAAAAATGGCATCAAACCCATTTAATTCCCAATCTTCCACCATATTCCGTCGTGGTAATGCAATGTACAAAAGACAAAGCCTTATACCACAACAAGGAACATGAATCTGGGCAAACCTCAAATACCAAGAAAGCTGAAATATAATTTAGCTTTCTTGGTATGTAACCCATCTTGGGTTACATAGTCATATAATTATGACTATGTAACCCAAAAAGAAATTCCCTACAAACCAGATATGCTCAAACCACAGTTGTACAAATTTATAAAAACAATAAAGAACAGTATCAGACATTCAGCATTGACAAAATATTATCTAATTTAAACCTCAGGCTTGGGTTGCAATAAAAGGTTATGTGAGTAGTAAAAATCTGCAATGGAACTTTAAAAGTGTGATAAATTTAGTCACAGAAAAGGTAAACCAAATGGGACCAAATGAATAGAAAGCTCTATGTGATAAAAACAAAAAAAAATTGAAGACTTAAATTGAAAGTGATCACATAATTGATAATTTGACGGATACCGGGATAATTATCAGAGCAGGATATTCGTCAGACAGCGACACAAGGGACTCAGGTAGTTCCTCATCGTCATTCGACCAAAATGATGATCTGTCAACTCTTGGAACAAGTGGTATATTTTCCAGAGTTAATGTACCTAGTTGCAGTCGCGTTCCTTACTAGCTTCCTCACTATGGGCTTCCCGATAAATTATTATGTTAATAATTTCTACTTCTACTTCTCTGGCTACGTGCTATCACCTACGCTGTTTCTTCTGTATATCAATAATATGTTGCTGTTACTGGTTTTAACACTGGTGATGCTTATAACACCGGCTGTGCTAATATTTCTCGGGAACACCTCATCGAGTATCGGAACAAACTTTTGTCTGAAGTTGAGTAAAGACACAACATAAAACCTCAGATTAGGAAAGACTCTAGTCCCGTTTTGCCCATGTCTCATGCCTCAGCTAGCATCGAAGTCCTCTGCATCGACATATCGAATGACGTACAGTTCCGCATTCACTTGGAAGGGAAGGCTAAATTGGCCTCTAAAAAGCTTGGCGTGCTCAACAGAGTGGAACAGAATTTCATGTCAGCATAACGTTTGCAACTTTACAAGGACTCAAGTTCGCCCTCACATGAAGTACTGTTCTCATTTCTGGACCGCGACCCCAGTGCCAGCTCCTTCCACTTAACCGGATCTAGCGAAAAGTGATCCGAATCGTCTACGAACAAGTTTTTTTATAATCGACTTGATTCACTGGCGCTGCGAAAAAATGTTGCATGCCATTGCATTTTCTAGCGCATTTTCCACAGGGAGTACTTAGACCAACTGTTCGGAATGATTCCATTCGCCTAATTCCACCAACGCACTTAAGGACAATACTCACGGTCTCATCCACACCATCTGGATGTTCACCTTGACCGTGCGATTTACTAGGAGTTTTCTTTCACGCAAGACTTCTTTATGGAATCATCTGCCACCGGCGATTTTATACACCTAATCCGTTATCGGCCGAAGTTTGCTCGGCCGATGACGGCCGAACTTGGGCGATCGATTCAAACACTTGTAAAACAAAGAAAGCGCTTACACAAACACGACCGTCATCGTCCGATAACGCACGAAAACCGAACCGAACCGAAAGTCGAATCCGAACTTGTTGGGATTTCTCGCCCGACTATAGTTTAATTTAATCATTTTGCCTTTATTCCGTTGTTTCTGTCAGTGTTGTTATCTACCTAAACGACTATGGATATTGAAAATGGAAAAATATAAAAGAATACCGGCAACGTCCAATGTCGGCACAAGTGGTACACTGTTGCAGTGTAAGCACATACACGTCCGAGTTACTCGTCCGGGTAGTTCTGTCCGCCATGGGCCGACAAAATCGGTTTTGGTGTAAACGTACCGTTAGAGATCTTCAAGAAACGTGCTTACTCCTTTTAAAAAGGCCGGCAATGCTCAAAGTTGCGCCATCGTGGACACTTACTAACATCAGCTATCTGTCAGTGAAAGACCCGTCAAACAAGCAGACAGACAGACAAACATAAAATTTAAAAGTTGTTTTTATTATAAGTACCGTATATACTTCTGTACGCATTTAGTAAAAAGTTATTTTGATATTACAAATGGACACTAAAATTATTTGTACATATTAAATAAATAATAATATATTAAAATCAAATTTAATTATGAAATATTCGTCGTAAAGCATAAGGCTGACAATGCACCAATTATTTATTTTAATTAGGTGGACTGTGAGCTACTTTTCACTGTAGTAACATAAACTTTTGCTATGGACTCGGACATTAGTTTGTGAATGTTCTAGGATTTGGTGGAGAGGTTCCAGTACAGCTCGTGTTGCCGGTGCGCCGTGCTGTCCATTACTGCGGCCAATTCGGGACTCACGCTGACCGCCGCTAACCTCGTCCTTTTCGCTGAATTGCACTGGAATCCTGGAGTAAGTCAATTTTATTTAATTGTAGTGCGGTGTACTGGCTGCGTAAGAGAATCCAATATTCGTAATTCCCGTGGGTGTCGAAAGAGTCGACAGAGTGAAACCGAAACAGAAGATGGGTAGCAGCACCTTCCTGGTAAAAATGTTATAATAATAATAAAAACTGCTGTTACCTACCCGCCTGCTAAGCGTGGCAACTATGATAAATATCCACCCTTGAGGCAATTTATAATGAGCAAGAGGAAATTTGACATTGATTTGATAATGATGAATGAACGAATAATTTCTGTATATAACTTTAATATGACGTATTGCTTGCAAAGGCTTGCATACACACACATACACACACACACACGCAAGCACACGCACGCGCACGCACGCACAGGCACACAGGCACACATACATACATACACACACATGCACACACACACACACCATGACACCCACCACACATGCACACACACACACCCACACATGCGCACACACACACCACACATGCGCGCACACATCGCGCACACACGCGCGCACACACGCGCACACACACGCGCACACACGCGCACATACACGACACACGCACACAGGCACACATACATACATACACACACATGCACACACACACACACACACACACTTTTCTTTTATAGTTTATATCTTACGAATTAAGTTGATCACTATCTGTATTATGGCTATGGAAGAGCGGGATCTTCTGGCACACATGTTTTTACACTTAAGAGAAGATTTCCACCACGTCTCAAGATCATAGTAAACTTTTAGTTAATCTTTAAAGATTTATTATTATTAATTCTTAATGATGAATAATTACGGCCAACATGTAGATAGCTCCACAAAAACTCGTGAACATTGGCCTTGGAATTGGTATATTTCTAACTTTACCAACGTGTAGACTGTAGCACTCGCTTTGTAACAATTTGCCTACGCTCGCGTTGGTTGAGGCTTGGCCAACATGTATTGCCGGTTTAACGTATAAAATGTGTTGTCGCAGATCCTAACGCAAGCGGAATCGCGTGCGCACCGCATCGGGTCCCGCGGGAGTGTGCGCGTACGCTACCTGCTGGCCGCGCGCACCGCTGACGACTTCATCTGGCCCATGCTGCAGGACAAGCTCAATGTACCTCACCTCTAACTAACTTTGTATTACACATAACGTGTGCGTGTGCTACCTGCTGGCCGCGCGCACCGCTGACGACTTCATCTGGCCCATGCTGCAGGACAAGCTCAATGTACCTCACCTCTAACAATATTACACATAACGTGCGCGTGCGCTACCTGCTGGCTGCGCGCACCGCTGACGACTTCATCTGGCCCATGCTGCAGGACAAGCTCAATGTACCTCACCTCTAACTAACTAAGTATTACACACAACTTGCGCGTGCGCTACCTGCTCGCCGCGCGCACCGCTGACGACTTCATCTGGCCCATGCTGCACGACAAGCTCAATGTACCTCACCTCTAACTAAGTATTACATGTAACGTGCGCGTGTGCTACCTCCTGGCTGCGCGCACCGCTGACGACTTCATCTGACCCATGCTGCAGGACAAGCTCAATGTACCTCACCTCTAACTAACTAAATATTACACATAACGTGCGCGTGTGCTACCTGCTGGCTGCGCGCACCGCTGACGACTTCATCTGGCTCATGCTGCAGGACAAGCTCGATGTACCTCACCTCTAACTAACTAAGTATTACACATAACTTGTGCGTGTGCTACCTGCTGGCCGCGCGCACCGCTGACGACTTCATCTGGCCCATACTGCAGGACAAGCTCAATGTACCTCACCTCTAACTAACTATTACATGTAACGTGCGCGTGTGCTACCTGCTGGCTGCGCGCACCGCTGACGACTTCATCTGGCCCATGCTGCAGGACAAGCTCAATGTACCTCACCTCTAACTAACTAAGTATTACACATAATGTGCGCGTGCGCTACCTGCTGGCTGCGCGCACCGCTGACGACTTCATCTGGCCCATGCTGCAGGACAAGCTCAATGTACCTCACCTCTAACTAACTTAGTATTACACATAACGTGCGCGTGTGCTACCTGCTGGCCGCGCGCACCGCTGACGACTTCATCTGGCTCATGCTGCAGGACAAGCTCAATGTACCTTACCTCTTGACTAACTAAGTATTACACATAACGTGCGCGTGTGCTACCTGCTGGCTGCGCGCACCGTCGACGACTTCATCTGGCCCATGCTGCAGGACAAGCTCAATGTACCTTACCTCTAACTAACTTTGTATTACACATAAGGTGTGCGTGTGCTACCTGCTGGCCGCGCGCACCGCTGACGACTTCATCTGGCTCATGCTGCAGGACAAGCTCAATGTACCTCACCTCTTAACTAACTAAATATTACACATAACGTGCGCGTGTGCTACCTGCTGGCTGCGCGCACCGCTGACGACTTCATCTGGCTCATGCTGCAGAACATGCTCAATGTACCTTACCTCTTGACTAACTAAGTATTACACATAACGTGCGCGTGTGCTACCTGCTGACTGCGCGCACCGCTGACGACTTCATCTGGCCCATGATGCAGGACAAACTCAATGTACCTCACCTCTAACTAACTAAATATTACACATAACGTGCGCGTGTGCTACCTGCTGGCTGCGCGCACCGCTGACGACTTCATCTGGCTCATGCTGCAGGACAAGCTCAATGTACCTTACCTCTTGACTAACTAAGTATTACACATAACGTGCGCGTGCGCTACCTGCTGGCTGCGCGCACTGCTGACGACTTCATCTGGCCCATGCTGCAGGACAAGCTCAATGTACCTCACCTCTAACTAACTTTGTATTACACATAACGTGTGCGTGTGCTACCTGCTGGCCGCGCGCACCGCTGACGACTTCATCTGGCCCATGCTGCAGGACAAGCTCAATGTACCTCACCTCTAACTAACTGAGTATTACATGTAACGTGCGCGTGTACTACCTGCTGTGTTGTACAATTCCACAGTTTTTTTTATAGTCTGTGGTTTTTGTTGTTGTTTTCTTATATTAATGCGTAGTATATTCTTATAGTTTTCGTAGCTCAGGGTCAGGGAGTTTTGGAGAAAACTATACCGCCGGCGGATTGGTGCTTCATTATCGTTTAAATAAATGTTGGAAGTGGGTTTTGATACGTAAAAGTGGTGCGATTATGTGTATTAAATATGAGGCCGGATGCCAATTCTTACATCAGACTTTTGATAGGCTGTGATGAGTGAATGAATTTTAACTAATCATTTTTCAACACAGGTACTTAACGACGTAGGGCTAAGCGGTGACACTTTCGAAGACACAACCATGACGCACCAGGTACGGTTTATTATTTTCATACTAACTAATACGACTAAACTTTTTTGTTTTTGTAGTTATTGATGGCGACTCCCATTACCTTTTCCCAATCTATTTAGGTGTTTTCGCCACAAATTGATATTTTATTTTTATCATAGCCTAAACCTCTGACACGCATGTAGGTAGCCAACATTTCAGTAGGTGAGTCGACAAGGACACAGACCTATCCTTTTGCAGCGCAAGTGTTGAGGGCGTTATATTTGCTAGGGATAATTATTGTAGCGTGACCCTGTCAAGCCGAAAGTAAAGACCAAACTCTCCGCTTTGCGTTCAAGGTGTGCAAATTTCTAGTATTCGATCATTGGTTGTAACACTGTTGAGTCTATTCCTAAATCGTATGTATTTCTATTATTTTATTATTTATTTAGGATTCCAACAGCTTCTTAATACAGACACCTAATACTCGAAAAAGCCAATTGGAGTATTTTTGCATCAAAAATTGTCTTTGTTTGACCGATTGCGCGACTATTGACACATTCGGTAGTAATTTCGCAGATATTGTGTACAGACCTAATAGCTGACAAGGAGCGCTATATATTTGATCGGTGCATATTATAATTCAGCGCAAATTCAGACTTGCTAGTTGAAATTAGTTCACAAACCCTGTAATTAGAGCGCCTTATTTATTGCCATACGAACTCAACTTAATTTGAAACAAGACAAGCGCTTAAAGGAGCTGGTCTTTATATATATATTATATACTAGCTTGCCAGGCAGACGTTGTTCTTCCCTTTTCGACGACCCTTTGTCATGTCCTATTAAAAATCCTTAAATTCGCAAAAAAAAATTGTGGGCCACTTATGGGCAAAAAAACTATCCTATCCCTCAAGTTGGACCAAAATGCACACGGTGTGCAAATTTGATTAAAATCGGTTAAGTAGTTTAGGAGTCCATCGCGGACAAACAACGTGACACGTAATTTATATATATTATGATATGACAAAACGCAATTGTTTTTAATAGACATCATTTGCCATATTTTGATTTTATTCTACATATTTTCTAATCGGGTAGTATCACCTCCAGTGTTAGAATATTTGCTACTTCTTTACTGTCCCGACAGTGTCGTAAGAGTCGCCTCTTCTCGGAGGAAAAATGAAACAGGATATGGGCAACAGCATCTTCCTGATAACAACTCAAAATAAATACTGCGGTTGTCAGCCCGCTTGATGAGATTTATATAGGCAGGACTTTCTAGGTACTCTATGCTTATAAGTTCGTCTCGGTAAGGTAATGACTTCTTACCAATTTCTGCCGTCAATTAACATTACCTGCACCACTGCATTCCGGCCTGAAAGGTATAGAGAGACAGTATAATTACAGGTATTCCATCTTAGTCTTCATAGGTGGAAACTCATCTATAGCCTTCTTTTCATTTTTGTTTTTTCCATGGGATATAATTGCCAATTAATATCACGTGTGCTGTATGTTCGTTTGTCACTTTAGTTTAACATTAGCATTTAGTGTTAGTAATTCTGATAACGGATAGAAGCTAAACATTTGTTGTATTAATAGTTCTCGCATTGTTTACATAGGTTCCCTTTTAGCAGCATATATATATATATATATATATATATATATATATATATATATATAAAAATTAGTTTATCGTTAAAGATAATGTCAGGAATGTTGTGTGTCATGGGTGCAGGAACAAAAATATTGACTCCGATAACTTACGTTGTTTACGTCTTGATGTTTTATGCGGTTACGGAAATTTCAGAAAGTTCACGCAGTGTCTTTGTTCTTACAGGAAAGTAAAAATATATCACATTACTTAACGCCGCAATGCAGCAAAAACAGGAACGACTACATCCCGGGAACGAACATCAGGAAAGTTCCGCTGCAACCACAAACATCGAACGCACTAGAGAAAAATACTCAATGTGATAATAAAACTAGTGAATGGACCTCTAATGTTGAATGCGATATCGATAACATCGAGAAGTCGTTTTTAGAGGACGATGAAGACGATCAATTAATGGCCAATTTGGATTTATGACAAAAAGTGATATTGTTAACATGTTATGAATTGTAAGATAATTTACTTTTTTAAATTATAATGATATGTTTTGTAATGCATGTATATTTGTAGAGTGCTCATAAGGTTTACAAATATTTTGATCCGGATTTACAAGTGATATAACATGTTTTCCACTTTGCTGATGTTATTGTGTAAGGTGATCATATGTATAATTTATATTAAATGTTGGAAGTCGGTTGATTTATCAGGCTGTTAATTGGTCGACTAGACATTAGGTAAACTCCGGCAATAAAATAATTTTTGCTTAGGACAAAAATTCCTAAAAAGGACCGGTTCCTTTTTAATTATCACAGTTCGATGGCATTCTCCTCCACCCATAGACAAAGAGAAATGGACTGAGGGTTCCCCTTAGAGAATGGACTACTATCAGGAAAGGGACAAAGGGTAAGTAAGCTTGTGATCCTTTACCTGTCTTTTTCCAGTAGGTCCACAAGCGCTAGCAGCAACTCACCATAATCATCAGCCTTTTAAATTCTCGGCCTTTTAAAGACTGCAGGCGGATTTAAGATCGCAGTGTCAGACCTCTTACTCTGTTGATGCTGCTTTCTGTTGCCGGTCTTGGTATTTTAAATTTTTAACTATTATAAGCCATTACTTAGTTTTTTAAAGAAGATGAGGCAAACGAGCGGCTCACCTGATGGTGACTACCGCCGCTCATGAATAATTTAGAAAGGAATAAGTCCTTTTCGTGATGGTTCCTAAGTCGTATCGGTCCGGAAAAATCGCCGGTGGCTTTTATCCAACCTGATGGTAAGTGGTGATGTAGCCGCTGACGGTAAAGCGCGCTAACTTAGCTTAGCAAGAGCTTTTTTCTCTTGCCATGTAGATATTATTTAATAAAAGACGAAGATGCTGGCAAATTATTCCACTCCATTGCTTGCATACGCATTATGAACGAATGAGCAAATCGGAAAAGAAAAAACTCATCTAGCGTAAACGAGGCGGTTGTACTGCTGTCTAATATGATCAGAAGGAGGATCTTTTTGCATTATCTACAGTGGACGAGGAAGAGATTTCTTATAGGGACCCTTTAGGGCGCTACCGTAGAGTAAGCTGCAATTTAGAACCGTGGGCTCAATTAAATTAAAAAAAAAACTAATCGTTACAAATACGGAATCCTCAGTCCATTCTCTGTGTCACAGCTAATGCATTGTCACAATACTTGATATAAAATTTCAAATCTGCATTATTTAAAATTATCACTCTGTTTGGATTTATTTCATTTTGTATTTATAAAAGTGTTGTAATGTTGAGCACATCATTGTAATAAATCTGTTATAAAAAATAAAAAATTATTAATTTATTTAATTGTATATTTGTCTAAATCGTGTTAGGTCAGAGAACGATCGTTCGCTTCAGTTTTTTAAATCGCGAGCTATGCAAGTCCAATCTCTGTCGACACCTCTGAAAGAGCTGATTACGAATTTAAGTGTTATTTTAACATGTGTACGTTGGTGAAGGAACATATCGTGGGGAAACCTGGATCCGAGAAATTGAAAAAGAAACATTTGACGCGGTAGAGCCGCGCTGCAGCTTAATATAACTGCATGCTTTACGAATGGGTCGATTTGATTGGGGAAGGATCACGCTCTCAAAGAATACCCGAGTAAAACTAGCAGCTTTTGCTGCTAGTTTCGTGTAGACAACCGGAGACCCTTTTTACTGGAAGGAGGCATATTCTATCTTAGTAGTCAGGCATGATGACATCTCATCTACTTTGATTATCGAGGATAGATTTAGGTGTCTATGAGCTGAGCCATAGCATCCACATATCATCAGCTGAACTGTGCGATGTGTGCTTGTTCATATGTCTTGTTATTTTTAGTTCTCTGACATGCATGATGTAATTTCCCTCCAATATTTTCCATCACCTTCCAACACGTGGTAATCATCAGCGCTTTATAAATTACAACAATTTCTGTGGTACTGGCGTGGATTGAACCCGATATACACTTGTATTGTGACACTTAGCGCGAAAGATTGGCACGGCTAGTGTGGGAGCGAAGTTACAACTAAAAGTGCAAGGTAATTAATGATTCTTTACTAGGTTTTTAAATACCGGTAGCGTTGCGCGTTTAACTGTCGATGGGAGTTTATTCCATAAACGAATGGCCTGTAGTAAAAGACATGTTCATAAAAATACTAGTGTGTAGTGGCATATTCAATTGCACGCCTCATACGCGAAGCGTTGAGGTTGTGCTCTACTCTCACCTAATGGAAATCCAGTAATTTTCTGAGCTAAAAATGTCTTTATTTTTTTACTATTACATTTTTAGAATAATAAAGATATAAATATATATATATATATATATATATATATATATATATATATATATATATATATATATATATATATTCTATATATCTGTATTTAGTGTAAAAACGGAAAAGGTGGCCGGATATATGTATTTGTGGATGGCGCACGATTACGGTCGTTAGAATTAATGTATCAAAATAATTCTTTTTTTTTATTAGGTTTTGAATCTCATCGCACACGTTCCTTTTAAAAATCACAGTAATTTGGTTTCGTTTCATTGTATTTAATGAAAATGTAAGAAACAACTGGTACTTTTCTACAAAAAAATATCCTCATAGATCTCTTCTTTCGCCTCAAATATGGAAAAAAGATATTTTTCTTTTTATATAATCAAATGAGATTATGAGGCGTGCACTTTTGGATTTTCCAAATTTTTCACTCCGCTGATCTCAAGTTACGCTAATGGGAGTCACGAAGAAACTTAAAACGATTTTTGAGGTAAGAAGGATTAAATAGAACTCTATAGAGAAGATGAATTATGTGAGCATTCCGAAGAAGTCGTATTGACAACCAGTCGAGTTTAATACAAAAGAGAGAGACATGGTCATATTTGCGTAATACAAATATAAACCTTATACATTAGTACTATATACTAAAATGAAATCTATCGTAGTCTGTAATTATGCTGCTCTGTTAACATTCAAAACGCATCTGCAGTGCGATTTTGTAGGTCTGATGGGAATCGTAGTTGGCTTTGTTTTAGTTTAATTACGTTGTTTTCTGTAAATGTATTGGTATCGATTTAAAGGCGATGTCTTTTGTAGTTACAATGTATTATTATAATAAAATATACTGAGCTTGCTAAGTGATTTCCACCAGAATTACAAAATCACAGTTTTATGTTAACAAAGCAATAGGTGCGCTGTACAAAGTACTTTTGTATAGTGCATTGGTGGAAGGGTAAGCGTACGAAGATCTAGAATAATTGAAAATACTAAGTGGTCGGATTTATTTTCTTTCTAGAACTTCGTCTGGGCAGGTAATATTACATATTTCTACTAAATCGCAGTACTATGTTCCGGTCTGAAGGATATAAAGAGCCAGTATAATTACTGGTTTTGCGGCATTACATCTTAGTTTTCAGGTGATAACGCATTTGCAATGTTCTTTGTTTGAAGTTAACCACAAGTGTCCATAGACTGCAGTAACCTTACGATACTTATAACTATATTACTTACGTGGTAGAGCTACGCTGCAGCTGTTTTGACTATACATTGCTGCAACACGAAGGGGTTGGCTCGACCGGGGCAGGACCATTTTACAGAACATCAGCGTGAAGCAGCACACTAATGCTGCTCTGTTTTTATGGTAAATAGGCATTCCATTTTAGTCCTCAGAGGTGACTGCATATGCATTTTAATTCTCAATCGCAGATGTAGATTCTAGGGTCAGTTACCATCAGGCGGACCATGTACACTAGAACATAGTCAACTATTGTCACCCTTATTCTGTAAAAAAAAAACACTATCAGGTGGATTATAAGTTCTTTTGTCACTTATTTATTATAAAACACAGTTTTATAAAAATTGTAGCCTACCTGCAGGCAATAAGGGCTAGCTAATGGAAATTCTAAATAAAATGAAAAATATCCAATTTGGTCTACAAATTTCAATAAAAATCATTGGTTTAGTACATTTTCTTATAAAGTATGAACGAAAAATTGTTACGTTTACTATAAAGAAACACAAAATTAGACATTTCTAAAAACCTTGCTAGTAGGCCTTATTTTTACTATGGCAGGATACGAACGAACTAATAATCAATTTATATGTAATATATTTAATGTTTGTGATCAATTATCACATATTTTTTATTTTATCTTATTTTATTGAATAAGATACATAACAGACAGTAGTTATATAAAGGTCTAAAATTTAAAGTATATTTGTGTTGATCTATACTACAATCCAAAAAAAGTGTACACAGCATAATAATATAACTACAGTATAATCTTAGTCTTAGCAAAAATAAAACAGATAACAAATACATTAAATGTTAAGAGAAACACGTAAATTTATATTAAATATAACCAGGCTACTATCGAATATATCTAGATGTACGTTACTATGCTTAATCTCGTAATCACAGCACATTTTAACAACAGGGTTGAAAAAGGAAGTGTTATTCTTGTGTACGTCTAATCTGAAAATTCTTTGAACACGTTGTCGTATACCGGACTTGAAGTTAATTAACCTTAGTAACTCTGGGGCACTCTATACGAGAATGCACAATCTTGTGCAAAAAAACTTGCTCGGAAAATTGTCTCCTCAAAGACAATCGCTGGACATTAAAAAACTTTAGTTGGGAGTCATATGATGGTAGACGAGGCAAGTGACCATATCTACCACAAACACTGCGAATGAAACAACTCTGCACCCTCTCGATACTGTCAGAATGTACCTTACAAAAGGGTGACCATATAGTAGAAACATACTCCAGTACCGAACGAACTAAAGTATAAAATAATCCCTCACAATTATCAAATCGTAACCCGACACGTCCTTGTGAGCTTAGGCGCAGGACCAATATGTTACACATAATTTAATAGCGTCCAATTTCAAAACCTTAATTTTTTCAACACACTTTGTTTTTGCACTGCCCAAACAGTGAACAAACAGCTGAAACCAGGTCGTTTTATGACTAAGACATTAGTAATAAAAGTGTACGATTTATTTGCATTTATAACATTTCAAATGATATAAAATTATAAAAACATTATAAAACAAAAAGAAAACTACACAAAAAGAAGGATAATAAGGCCTATGGTGAAATTTGGTAGGCATATAACTGCCGACCAAGTATTTAAGAAACACCAAAACTGGCTAGGATACGTAATTAAAATCTTCAAGATCAAAAAAGCATTGATTTATAAAGATAAAGATTACGATTTTAGATAGTTAAGTGTAATGTTACAAAATATACCTACCTACGATTTATTTGGACTGATTTTTATTATTGGTGAAGTGCGGTCGTATCTTGTGATAGATAATGCAACTCTAGTGGCAGGCAGGACGCGGAATAGCGCGTCTCTGCAAACTTGTTGAGACATTATTGTGCGTTGGTTATTATAAATACGATTTTTATTACTTAGGCCTTATGATCCGACAGGCCTTGTTACGCTTATTTGCTGTGAAAATATATCTTTTACGTTCATGGTTTTCACTTTTGATATTAGGACAGTTAAGTTTTTTATTACTTAAATAGCAATATAAAAACCTACCCAGATGGAGTAGTAAACGAAATTTGGTACATCACTGCATCTTCAGCTTGAAGTCACTTTCGTAAGAGAATTTATCCCACACGTCTCGTGAGCGTCGTCAAAGTCGCCTAAAGAACCAAAAAGATCTCGTAACCTCCGAAGGTGGGTATTAACGTAATAAAAATAAAACTTGTCAAGCAAAAGTCTGTAGCTATTTTCACCGATAATAAATGAAGCACATTTACTAAGTGCTTATTACATAGAGATTTACTTAGTGTTTCTTATCGCTTTATCTTCGGTGTTTACACATTTATAAGGACAAAAAAAAAACAGATTATAATCCAACAAAACATTTTTAATCAAAATGTTTATAAGTTACAGTTATAATAATTTAACACTGTAATTTTCAAACAACAAGTAGCTTCTTAGGTATGCTCTTCGATCAACTTCTTTATACATTTCCAGTATCCTTTTAGTAGTCTGTGAATGCCTAACCATGCATGACATGTCATAATTTACAACTTATATATACATATATGTGTGTGTGTGCGTATATAATATAAGTATATCTACTTTGGAAGTTTACTATAAAAACGACCAAATAATTGATTATTTACTTGGTAAATACGTGTCTATACCTTTAACAAAAATTAATAACAAAGCAAGTTTGGACTGAAATACGATTTCTCGTTGTATTTAAAAGCATTTTATAAAGTAAATCTAGCATTCATTTACATAAATTGCATTACATAAGTGCAAACACCTAGCACGATAAGAGAGATTTGAAATTATTTGTCCAGCACAAAAATATAAATTAACAGCACTAAACTAAAGCTCCGAGTGCAACAATAAATCCATTTCGTAGTTGTAATCCAGACAAAATATTCAATATCTCACATACTTTATCACCTTCTCGCAACACAACACCTTATAATGCACAAATAAATAAATAAAAAAAACCGATGAATTAAACACCCACAAAAATTTGGCAAGCGCTCTTTGACATTTTAGTCTTGGTCGTAATATTTACATCACAAATCTTTGTAATGTAATCTTTTCTATATTTGTATTTTCTAGCTTACATCACTTAAACAAAGTTTTACGAATCTTCGCAAGAACCAAAGCTCTTTATAGGCAGGTGACTTCCCGCGCATTCCATCATACATTTATTGCTGTAAGTAACACCATTAGAGGCACAGACTGGTTGCAAATTTCTTGTGCAGGCGCAGCGGCGATTTTTCGGCAGTTCAATCTTTGTTTCTTCCTCACACGGGTCAGCATGGAGAACGTGAAGGTCAGGGTTTGATTCACGGGCACAGTTCAGCAGACATGGGTTATTGTAAGTGATCCCGTCTGTGCCACACACACGTTTAGTTTCCCGAGTACAGACGCAAGAATTTTCCACTTCCCTGTTGCTCCGACATGCTCCTCTATAATTTATATCAAGACCTGGATTTTCCGTTTGTTGGCACTTTAAGGAACAGGAATTTGGATAAGTCTCCCCATCTGTACCGCATACTGGGTTATAATCGTAAGTGCAAATACAATTAGAACCCGCGGGTTCGTTTCTCTCACACGCACCCGTTTTGACCAGAGTTATATCAGGGTTGGTAGAACGCGCGCAGTCTAATAGACATTGGTTACTGTATGTTTTGCCATCAGAGCCGCAAACGGGTTTCCTATCTCTCGTGCAAACGCATGGTGGTAACGCAGATGTGGCGGAGAAGTATGTCCCCATGAGCAGCGTCAAACCTATCAATATAAGAAAGTTACATTATTTAAAGAGGGTAACTAGTAATAGATTTTTTTTATTTGTATTTATTTACATATTGGACGAGGAATTTATTATGAATCATTTAATTTAAAATATACTTGAATAATAGGAGTTATTATTTTATTTATTTTAATAGCTACAGCATTTATAGGATATGTTTTACCTTGAGGACAAATATCATTTTGAGGAGCTACAGTTATTACTAATCTATTATCTGCTATTCCTTATTTAGGAACAATATTAGTAAATTGAATTTGTGCTGCGGATTTGCTGTTGATAATGCTACTTTAACTCGTTTTTATTCATTTCATTTCTTATTTCCATTTCCCCTTATTTTTATATTAACTATAATTCATCTATTATTCTTACATCAAACAGGTTCTAATAATCCTTTAGGAATTAATAGAAATTTAGATAAAATTCCTTTTCATCCATTTTTTACTTTTAAGGATTTAATTGGATTTATTATCATATTAACATTATTAATTATATTAACATTAACTAATCCTTATCTTTTAGGAGATCCTGATAATTTTATTCCAGCTAATCCTTTAGTAACTCTAATTTAACATTTAACAATTTTAGATAAAATGATTACAAATACAAAATACAATCATCATCATCATCATTACAGCCCTTCACAAGTGCACAGCCGAACATTGACCTCCCCAAAAGAATACAACAAAGTACTGTCCTGAGCCACCTACATCCATCGACTTTCTGCATGTCTTACCAGGTCGTCACTACATCTAGTAGGGGAGGGGGCGCTAGTGGGGGGGGGGCACACTCGCCTGCCGGACGACCTTGCAAATACAATATCACAAAAATAAAGTAAAACTAATATGTCTAACTAGTACGTCTAACTAGTACGTCTATATATGTTGTACTTCTGACCTCGTTGGCTTAGAGGTCGTGAACGGGATTGCTGATCCCTGGTTGAAATCCCAGGGTGGACCAAAAGCAGTTATTGGTTGTCTACCAAGAAATTTTTTGTAGCAGTTCGGAGTCGGAAAGTTTTGGGTTTTTTACTCCCGTGTTTCGGAAGCATGTGAAGCCGTTGGTCCTGCACCTGATCTCTTTCCGGTCGTGTCGGATTACCATTCAATCGGACTATGAGAGTGAGGGAATAGAGAGTGCACCTGTGGCCGCGCACTCACTCGTCCTGTCCCTGTCCTGAGCACATCTCCGTTGAGACTGGCCGCCGTGACCAAAGTTCGGTCTGGAGGACATTATTATTATATCAAAATGAAATGTTTAAACCATTTTCTGCTTGATTTTATGGTTTCACTTTTCATTTAATTGATTTTGTTACAGCTAACATAATAGTGATTTTATAAGTTGCAATTACGTAGTGATTATATTATAGTATTTGACTATTTGTTATGGCAATAGCTTGGTGGTTTTAATTTGTCCTGTAGGTACTTATTTGTACCTATAGGTACTTCGAAATGCCTTGGGTCATTTATTATTACTGCTGCGTCATATTAACTCGCACGTTGACCTGTACAACTTGATTGTGGTGAGGGTCGAAGACGACAGATTTATTAGGTATTAATTGATCGATTCTAGTTTACCCTAGTAAGATTGGTTATAATATATGTAAATTCTGTTATGTTACTCAATTTTATTTATTTTTATATCAGATACCATATAGGAAAGAAACACGTCTAGTGTTTTAATCTTTTTCCGTATTATATTTACTGTTTTTTATCTATTTAACTAAGTAGACATATTTTATTACTCTTATGATAAAATCTTTTCAAACAAGATTCGATAGTGCGATGGCTAAGCGTTGCTGCAAAGTTGGATATTTGTCCAAATAGGTACAAATTGTGTACGACTTCGATCAACAATACCAATTGTTATTGTTGATCGAAGATTTACGAGTGAAACGCCCAACGATAAAAGACAAAATCCTAGTATTAACAGTTAACTGTAAAATATTAAAAATTTAAAACCACAACTTAAAAGTATACATACTTAAAATAATATTTAATAATTTCATTTCCATTAATATTTTTTTACGTTTGAAGACGCGTTCTAAATCGATATTTACTATATAGATGTTTGATAATTTATATTACATTTGATAAAAATAAAATAGGTATAAATGGGTATTATTTCGTATAATATAGTCAAAAAAGTTTCTAAACAATTAAACTAACATATGGGTATCTCATAATTACAAATATAATATGATGAGAACGTAAACTAAAATTGATATGCTTACCGAAAAGATACTTCATTTTGAAGACTTGTTCTTGTAATTGCAAAAATGTTTTGGTTTTACTCCACGGCTTGTTCCGACGTCAGCGGCTGCAGTGATACTCACCGTCAGCCGCCATTCGCTTAAATAGAAATAAACATTTCTCAAGCGAACGCGTAACCCGGCCCGCAAGGTCTTCGCAAACACGTAAAATCCCCTCGAGCTGACGTGAACATCGTAAATAAATGCAATCGTTTTTTCCGGCCCTTTATAAGGGCATTGTTGTTATGTTGACAAATAATGCCGATGTACCAATATCTACATATACAAATGTTTTATGCCCGTTTATGAATTATATTAAATTTAAATAGTTTGATAATGATTTCTTATATTAGATATTTACACAAACACTAGGCATTGAATAAAATGTATATATATATATATGTATAAGTAATGGATTTTATTTGATCGTTTTTAATTTAATTAATTTTAATTCCCAAAGTTTCTGGTGCTAAAATCCGTAAAAGTATTTTTTTATGGAATAAGGTTGACAAACGAGCACTCAGTACATCTGATGGTAAGTGGATGCTGAGAGCCATAGACATCTACATCTATCCTCTATTAAGAATCAAAATGCAGTTGCGTTGTCACCCATGAGGACTAAGATGCAATGCCTCGTTTCCAGTAAAAAAGGGTCTCTGGATCTCTACTCTCACCATACGAAACACAGCAGTATTAACCCGTAAGGTCAGACAGCTCGCGACATACTCCCGTTCCCTCGGAACCGTAATGGCGGGAAAATTTGCAAATCAGCAAATTTTTTGCTATATTGCAAATTTTGCTATATTTTCACTTTGAGACAATATTTATGGATAAAACTTACAGGAATTCTTGTTGAATGTATAAACTATCGAATAAAATTATTTTTGGTTGCTAGAAATTATAATAAAATTCATAAATTACCCTTTATAGCATAGTAGTAGTATATACTTCACTTTTAGTGCCAAAATTACTACTAATTTTCTCTCGTTAGTTTGAGCGTTTCACTTGTATACGACATGGCAATATTAAATAGTCAAGTCAACTACTAAAGACCATATGATCCTCATGACTGTTGATCGTGTAATGACTGTAAAGAATATCCACTACGCTTTGTAAGAGTTACAGAGGGAAACCTCGAGATGGGCAGCAGCGTCTATTTAATACCAACTCAAAAATAGAAACTACGATTGCCAACCCGCTTACAAATATAGAGATAATAGAGACAATAAATATTCCCCCTATGAGGCAAATTATGGGGGAGGCCCATGTTCACCAATAGACTTTGATAGGTAACCATACATTCGATGACTTACACGGCGCCTGCAGTCCCGCTGCAGATACAACCCCGGCCCCTGTGATCGCCGGCTTTCGACTTTGACACCACTATCGAAATTTGTTGGAGGCTTCGTGTGGTAATAGGTACGTAGCTTTCATTTAGGTATTTCAGTCATTCATCCTAACACTTTATGAAAATACCGCGTCGACATTATTAAATAGAATTCTAGTTAATATTCTTACAATCAGGAAATGTTATTAAGACGGTTGAATCACTACGAGAATGCATTAGCATGTTAACTGGTTTTTCATTATTCGCTTAGCACGAAACTGTATTTACTTTGATTTATTTATTTTCCTGTTGCCTATCCTTATATCTAAATACTTAGTATTGAATACAAGAGGATAAATCATTTGATTTTTACTCCAATTTTGTGCGAATTTCAAGGACGAAAAATACAGTTCTCTTGCATAAGCATTCGCGTCCATTAAATATGAATCGAAAGTACCCAAGTAGCACACAAGCAATATAAGCAGACACTGTATCGCTCTCTTGCTGTATAACAGCTATTTAAGGAAGTCGGTATCTTTAATTAAAATAGCTATGTAGTAGTGACGATAATGGCTTTGAAGTTAAAAAAGAGGTTTGTTGAGCTTTTATACAGGTATTGGATGTAAAGCCGAGTTATAAATATACTTATTAACACTATGAGACCTGAAAGAGAAATAACGAACATAAAGGCGCTTCAATTGAGTTATAAATATTGCATATAGTACTCAATGTAATACTAACCATACAGTCTACGCCTTAACAATAGATCTATAATAATCTTAAAAACAACTTTTACCATATTTGAGAGTTATAGCTCGACAGAAGCACCAAAAGCGATATATTTGTGAAATATATCTTGTAAGTATAGCCTCTACCTGTATTAGGCTATTAGGCGTGCCAAAGATATTTTATACGGCTATAAGAGTTTTTAATCTACCCTGTATTACCGTTAATACAGTAGTCTTTACAAGACCTTAATTAATTTCACGAATTATTAATTATTTTGTCTTGTGTGTGTTAATAAAATTACAAATGGACTTTAAAATGTTTCGATAGTAAAAAGGTTTTTAAAGTTTAAGGTTAAAGGTTTTTTACGTGGTAGAGCCATGCTGCAGTTATATTAGTAGCATAGTTGTAGCACGAATGGGTTGGCTCGACCGTGGAAGGACCACGCTCTCACAGAATACCAGCTTCAAATAGTAGCTTAATGCTGCTGTGTTTCGTATAGTGAGTGTAGAGAACCGGAGACACTTTTTTACTGGAAACGAGGCATTTCATCTAAGTCCTCATGAATGACAACGCATCTGCATTTTGATTCGTAATCGAGGATAAATGTAGATGTCTATGGGTCACAGCAACCACTTAACATCAGGTGGACTGTGTGCTCGTTTGTCATCCTATCCTATATAAAAAAAGTCTTTTCCACGCGCATGATCGCGGAGAATTTTGTGGCCAAAAACCAAAAAAAATTGTGCGTTCATGGATTTGGCTAATGATAGAGAGGAAAGAAGGATGGTTCAGTGTTATTTGGATTGAGTGCTGTGTCGATAAGGGCATTAAAGTCTCTTCATAGGGACTCTAGTGGTTGTTTCAGGATCAGCGGACTCGGACTATTCGGACTGGTTTGGCATCCATAAAGGTGTCAGAAAGGGCTGTGTAGCTTCCCCGTGGCTGTTCAACCTGTTTATGAACAGTTGTTTTTGAGAGTTGAAGATTGTGGGTTAAGAATGGGTGACATCGATAATTTAGACATATTTGCGTCGTCGGCGGCCAAGTTGCAAATGATTGTTACATTAATGAACAGGTCATTAAAAAAAAGGGAATATGCTAGTAAGAAGAAAGTGATGGTTTTTGAAAGAATAGAAAGTAAAACGATTTGTGAAATAAGAATAGAAGGGAAGTTAGTAGAGCAAGTGGATGAGTTTGTGTACCTACTCGTATTTAGGATGTGTATTTAACATGGATGGTAGGTATGACAAAGATATGGTACGATGAGTGAACGCAGGAAATAGAGTAAATGGGGCTCTACACTCTATTGTGAAAAGTGAGATTGTGTCAAAAAAAGACAAGTATAGCAATTCACAGTGCTGTAGTAGTGCGTAATGCGTATGGATGTACCTAAAGGAGGCAAGAAAGGTGTGTCAGGATTGTGCTAAATGGAAGTCCGTTGTCCCATACGAAACACAGCAGCATTAAGCTACTATTTGACGCTGATATTCTGTGAGAGCGTGGTCCTTCCCCGATCGAGCCGACCCATTCGTGCTACAACTATACTACTAATATAACTGCAGCATGGCTCTACCACGTAAAATTACTTGACCTGTACATCCCATTCCATTTTTAAATTCAGCTTGCACATCCCAAAACTTTCCATCCCTTTCTTTTATAACTTTTCAATAACATTTTATATTTTATAATTAATATTCTGTATGTTCCTATCATTTAACAAAATTATAAAATATGTTTACGGTAAGTGCGTTTGATTGAATATTGCATTTTTATTCATATACCGATTTTGAGTAGCAATTTACTGATATTTGTTGGCAACTCTACCGATTTCGCATTTAGATTTTGAGACCATAGTTTTAATTATTGAAACCATAATCGGAAAATACCACCAGTTATTTTGTTAAGCGGTATGTTCATGTTGATTATTCAACATTCATATGTGACGTTATGGGTACGAAAAATATATCGCGACAAGACATTTTATTAATGTCCCAGCGCGCGCTTAATTTTTTTTTTTCAATAAATTGTTTGGAAAACATCGGTATAATGAAAAATCGCAATCGGCGACGGCGTGCTATAATCATTGTCCTGGAAAGAGTAAACAAATACTAATACGGATTAGTTATTAGCGGGAGTAGTCCTCATCGAGTGCAGTCGCAGTTTAATCGTTGACGCATATTATATTCTGCCTGCCACATATATATTTATTTATTTTAAAATCGTCGCGTGGTGGCTGATGCAATTTTAAGTGCTGATTTACCACATGTTCGGCGGTGAATGAAAATATTGCGAGATAACCTGTATGTCTAAAAACTGGAATAAAATATATCGAAAACAGGAGAAGTTTGCCAACATACAACTAAAATCCTCTCAGAAATGAGAGGAGGCCTGGAGGTGGGACGGATATATAGGCTGTAACTAAATCTTTTAACTTTAAATCTTTTATCGCATTCTGACGCAGAGTATCATTTATTCTGACCCAGGGTACCATTTATTCTGACACAAATTATCGCTTATTCCTACCCAAAGAATCGTTTTTCGTATTCTGACCTAGAATGGACCGTGTAGATTAGAGGCGTTGTAGTAATATCCATTACCTCATATCATCCCGGACATGGGTGTCGTAAGAGGCGACGTCTGAAAGGTGATAGGCAGCAGTATCTTCCTGATAAAAACTCAAAATAATTAAAGAAACTGCAGTCGCCAACCTGTACGCCAAGCGGGGCAACTTAGGCAAATCCCCTCCATGAGGCAATCTATGGGGGAGGTCTATGTATGTTCAGCGGTGGACTTTTTTTTGCTAGCCTGTATTGAATGTATTGAAGGGCTCAGAATAGAACTAAACCACACTTATTTCGGCTTTTGTGCGAATCATACACAAGGACTAAAATATGCACGACAAAATAGTCTCAACTATTTAATAACTTATGCTATATGGGTAG